TCAACATTTATAGTACTGGAATATTGTAGTCTTCTATAGATTCTTGAACAAGCTTTTGTTCACAGTAAAAATTATGCATGTGTAAACTGACCTCTCAGAGTAAAGGTATTGTGTTATAATTTGAAATACATGAAAGGGTTACCCTGTCCCAAAACCACTGACCTAGATTTAGCAATTGTCTGTCACAGTGGTGGTATAAAGTATTCAGCAGGTGAGACGTGTATGTGTGTGTCTGTGATGGTGGGTGGGTTATACTGTGATAAAAGGTTATTTATTAGTAGACAAAGTAATACACCTGGTAGTCAAAAAATACAAAAACAAAACATAACAGGGATTTTACTTAACCAGAATGGAACTGGATTCCACCTATCTACAATAACATTAAATATATTAAAAGTATATGTAATAAAAAATAATTATTTGAATACACATACACACTATAACTTTCTACCAAGAGTATTTAATCACATGTAACCATCTAAATAAAAACAAATATCTATATCTAACTCTGTATGCACAGGCTATTATCTTATAGGTTATTATTAATGATCATCGTCAGTTCAAAGTTCCCCTCCCCCCCAATCTCTCACTTGGTGCAGTCTAATGCCAAAGTTAGTCTTTGAGCATCAAGCACCTCTTGTGCCTTCCTGAAGAGATGTACTTAACTCCAGTGAATGATGCTTTTTTGCAGAGGGAGAGGGGGTGCATATTAGAAAAGACCCCCTGGATCTGAGGGCCTTTTATATTTCTGTTCTGGGTCTCCAGGACAACGTGAATCAATAATAGGATATTCATTTTAAGAACACTTTCACTTCAAATTTGACAAAATGCAAAGAAGATACCAATGTGAAATTTCTAAAGATAGCTACAGCCCTCGACCCAAGGTTTAAGAATCTGAAGTGCCTTCCAAAATCTGAGGAGGCGAGGTGTGGAGCATGCTTTCAGAAGTCTTAAAAGAGCAACACTCTGATGCAGAAACTACAGAACCCAAACCATCAAAAAAGAAAATCAACTTTCTGCTGGTGGCATCTGACTCAGGTGATGAAAATGAACATGCGTCGGTCCACACTGCTTTGGGAAGACCTTTTCTGGTGAGAAGAAAAGGTGGTAGGCCATATGTCACAACTTATTTTGTAAGGTTGGGCAGGTGTTCAGTGCAGGTACTCCATAGGGAGGGCAGCCAGTGACCAGATAAATGGCCTGGTAAAGGACTTAAAAGGAGTAATAATAGAACAGAACAGGAATGGATAATGGAACAGAACAGGGGAGGGGGTTGGGGACTTCTATGATTGGTACAGCAGGGAGCCAACCTCACCCCCCTCCCCTCGCCCCGTTCTCATAGCCCTCCTTAACCCTCTTACGAGTGTAGTGGATCATAGAATCATAGAATCATAGAATATCAGGGTTGGAAGGGACCCCTGAAGGTCATCTAGTCCAACCCCCTGCTCGAAGCAGGACCAATTCCCAGTTAAATCATCCCAGCCAGGGCTTTGTCAAGCCTGACCTTAAAAACCTCTAAGGAAGGAGATTCTACCACCTCCCTAGGTAACGTATTCCAGTGTTTCACCACCCTCTTAGTGAAAAAGTTTTTCCTAATATCCAATCTAAACCTCCCCCACTGCAACTTGAGACCATTACTCCTCGTTCTGTCATCTGCTACCATTGAGAACAGTCTAGAGCCATCCTCTTTGGAACCCCCTTTCAGGTAGTTGAAAGCAGCTATCAAATCCCCCCTCATTCTTCTCTTCTGCAGGCTAAACAATCCCAGCTCCCTCAGCCTCTCCTCATAAGTCATGTGTTCTAGACCCCTAATCATTTTTGTTGCCCTTCGCTGGACTCTCTCCAATTTATCCACATCCTTCTTGTAGTGTGAGGCCCAAAACTGGACACAGTACTCCAGATGAGGCCTCACCAATGTCGAATAGAGGGGAACGATCACGTCCCTCGATCTGCTCGCTATGCCCCTACTTATACAGTCAGATGGTAAGGTCCAAGCCATGGCTGGGGGACCTGGATGGAAACAAAGGGGGGCTGGTGGAAGCTCCGGAGAATTTATTTGAATAAGCATGGATTAAACAAAGAGGAGCTCGTGGAAGCCCTGGAGAATTGATTTGAATAAGCATGGATTTGCCTGCACTGTACACTTTATCTGCTGGGTAGTCCCAGACACCTATATAATAAAGTTGGGTCCTGATTAAAACTCATGACAAGTCTTGGGTCCTTCTTGTGGTATATGCAGACAATGATCATGCATTGGTCCACACTGCTTTGGATCGCTATTGAGCAGAACCTGTCATCAGCATGGACACATGTCCTCCGGAATGGTTGTTGAAGCAACAAGGGACATATGAATCGTTAGCGCATCTGGCATGTAAATATCTTGTGACACCAGCTAAAACAGTGTCATGCAAATGCTTGTTCTCACTTTCAGGTGACATTGTAAACAAGAAACAGGCAGCATTATCTTCTGCAAATATAAACAAACTTGTTTGTCTGAGTGATTGGCTGAACAAGAAGTAGGACTGAGTGGAGTTGTAGATGCTAAAGTTTTATATTGTTTTGTTTTTGAAGGTAGGTGTTTTGTTTTTTTACATAATTCTATATTTGTAAGTTCAACTTTCATGATAAAGAAATTACACTACAGTACTTAGGTGAATTGAAAAATATTATTTCTTCTGTTTTTTACAGTGCAAATATTTGTAATAAAAATAAATATAAAGTGGGCACTGTACATTTTGTATTCTGTGTTGTAATTGAAATCAATATATTTGAAAATGTGGAAAACATCAAAAATATTTAAATAAATGGTATTCCATTATTGTTCAATCACACAATTAATCCTTATTAATGTTTTTTAATTGCTTGGCAGCCCTACCTGAGATACATTGTGGTAATATGAAAACAGAATTCTGGTTTTAAATATTCAACAGGTTTATACCTACCTGGAGCCCAGTTCAAGTATCTGAAAGGACTGCCTCCAATCCATTGCCATCCACTCTTTAAATCCAGCCTGTTAAGCCCAGTCCAGAGAGCAGAACCCACACTTTCAGTAAACCCTAAACAAGAAATTACATGACATGCTGCACTATTCCATTTTCGGACAGGACCAGTTAGTAAAGATTATACTTTGTAGATTATTCATGTATTTGCTGCAGAGATTTCAGACAGGCTAATAAGAAGCTAATTAACATTTCATGCTGAGATTTTGACAAGAAGTTGCAAATAAAGCCTTTATTTATGGCAGCAATTGCAAAGTGAACATGAGCAAGCTTCCATAGAGTAAACTCAGCCTTGAAGCTATATGATATTAACAAAGGGTCAATTTCATTATTACCCTGCTCCAAACTGGAGGTTAAGAACTGCTCTTCTGTTCACTGACAACGATTCCTAAAGTAGCCTAAAATACCAAATTTCTTGACATTATTGGAACCATCAGCACATACATCCATTCATACCATGCTAACCACCTTTATATACACTCTTGGAAGTAGCATTAACCACTGAAAATGAAACAAGTTCCCTCCATCCCACCACTCCAAAAAGACTATCACAGGAGGTAGCTATAATACTATGCCTAGTATTCCCAGAATGCAAGTCAGGGCTTTCTAGGGGGTTGTTCCTTTACCTCTTAGATACATTTGCTCATGCATCTGTGTGATACTTAATAATTCTGCATTCTGTTGCTGGCAGCTTGTTCTTGCGTGGTGCCATGTTAGAGCTGATTGGGAGTTGATCTGGTAGTGGAAACCTGTTTGAAGGATCTATCTTCCAAAATCTGATAGTATCTTTACCTGCAGAGAAACAAAAGATACAGTCTGGTTACTAGTAACAATGACTAACCAGGTAAAATTAGTTATGGAGTCAAACTGAGTCTGATATTTTTGTAAAACATCATTGTGCCAGGGCCACAGGAAATCTGGGAACATTTCAGGTAGGCCAAGGAGACAAGATAATAATGTCAGCACACCAGCAATTATGTGAATCTGACAATTATTGCCACTTGTGAAGTGGGGGACACTGGGTTAGAAGGGCTTGATGATGGAGTTGGCTGTGAATCTGTGGAAACAGTTTGCTCCAATGCAGATGGAGGGAATTCCTTTATGCTGGATGTTTGTAACACCCTCTCTGGAGACTTGAAGAAGTGTGTCTTAATCAGGGATCTGAATCATGATAGAAAAGCATTTTGAATCCATAGGAGAGGGAGTGAAGTTCAAGGATAAGAGGCATCATGGAAGAAGGCACAACGATGGAAGAGAAGTTTGGGAAGAACGGAGAGACAGTGAGAGCTGAGATGTAAGGTGGTGAATGAGAAAGTGAGGAGAAGAAACTGGTTGTTCATGTTAAAGTCAAGGGTAAGTCAGGGAAAGGGTTTGGAGAAGGACTGATGTAGGCAGAACCATAGCAGAGGAAGAATTTTAGCAGCAGCAATTTTAAGAGATTGCACGTGGGGAAGATGGTGGAGGAAGGAGAATGTTGCAGTAGTTCAGACAAGTTGGGCCTAACGGGTTTTCATGGAGGGTTTTATTAAAAAACACACAAGTTAGAAAGCATAAAACTAGATTATTGCAACATGAGATATTAACATCTCTAGAGTCAGTAAATTCATAACTAGGCATCCTACATTAACTGTAACTCTGTTCTCATGTGCATATACATTACTACACGGTCTCATTGCAGGATTACACAATACTTGGCAATGTACATACTATTAGTACAATATAGGAAGGTGTAAATGAGGTACATTCTTATATACTGCTTTTCAGCAAGACTCTAAGTAAGAGGAACTGCATGCTATTTTGTTTTTAAATTGCACCCTTTTCTATTCACATATGCAACATTTTGTATTACTGCCTTGCAAAGAAGAACTGGATGTGGAAATGAGTCATATACTGAAGTTTTATCTGTTAGACTGTTCAACATTAGCAAGACAGTGACATTTTGCTAGTGTTGGTTTGTTAAATACTGTGCTGTAGCAAACAATATATTAATGCAGAACTTACATTTTAGTGGGCAAAATCCATATAATTGGTCAGCATCAAAGTCTGTGGTTGTACCACACCAGAGCCAGCCATCTGTCCTGCCAGCATCTGTACACTCACTATACCATTTGCTATTAAACTTGAAAGGGAATACGCAGGGTGCCCTATTTGCATTTCCTAGCAATGTAAAGATATCTAAGGAGACAAAATGATAAAGATACAGAAGTGATAATATATTAATGTAAGCAGGGCCTACTGTATATAGCACGTTCTGGAGAATGCCTTCCGAACAGCATCACATTCCAGGTCATCTTGCAAATTTTCGTTCCTCCTTCTCTTGAAAAATTCAGTTCCCCAAGTTCTCAGACTCAATTAGCCTACTCATTTTATAAAACAGTCTTAGCCTTGACAGGAAAACTTTTCTAACTTAACATTTACAAATCACATTTCTACTACAAACTGTGTTTCTACAGAAATTACAGTGCTCACTTTATATTTCTTTTTATTACAAATAGTTGCACTGTAAAAATTATAAACACAACAAATTGTGTTTTTCAATTCACCTCATACAAGTACCATAGTGCAATCTCTATCATGAAAGCGCAACTTACAAATGTAGGGGAGGGTTGTTTGTTACATAACTGCACTCAAAAACAAAACAATGTAAAACTTTAGAGACTACAAGTCCACTCAGTCCTACTTCTTCTTCAGCCAATCGCTAAGGGAAACAAGTTTATTTACATTTATGGGAGATACTGCCACCTGCTTCTTATTTACTACTGGGCGACTCATGGGAGGGACACAGAGGGAAGCACCAATTAAAGGGGGAGTGGAGGCACGTGATCTCCCCACCTGACCCCTCCCCACCCCCAGCCCGGGGACCCCATGCTCTCCCCATCCCCTCACCATCCCACATTACCTGGGGGCGTGGCTCTGTCTTCCTGCTGCACCAGGAACCGCAGTGGTGAAAGGAAAAGAACGTGAGGCCACACGCTGGTGGCTCCTCCGGCATGGCTGAACCGGTACCACTCCCACCCCCACCCCCACCCCGAACCCTGTCGTCTGTGGGGGCTGTGCAGACCCCAGACAGGAGACAGAGCTGTGTGGAAGGGCTGGAGGCGGTACAGCTGTGCCAGAGGAGCTGCTGCCATGGGGCCACCTGGGGGCCCCACATTCTGCTCCTTTTGCCGCTGCAGTTCCCTGCCGAATACGTACCCCCCCCACAGGTGTCTGTGGGGACATCTGAGCCTTCTTTTCCCTTCCAGGCCACCATTCCAGAGGACAGAATTCCATGCTGATGACGCTCATTTAAAAGTAATGCGTTAATTAAATTTGTGACTGAACTCCTTGAGGGAGAATTGTATGTCTCCTGCTCTGTGTTTTACCCACATTCTGACATATATTTCATGTTATAGCAGTCTCAGGTGATGACCCAGCATGTTGGTTCATTTTAAGAACACTTTCACTGCAGATTTGACAAAATGCAAAGAAGGTACCAATGTGAGATTTCTAAAGATAGCTACAGCCCTCGACCCAAGATTTAAGAATCTGAAGTGCCTTCCAAAATCTGAGAAGGACGAGGTGTGGAGCATGCTTTCAGAAGTCTTAAAAGAGCAACACTCTGATGCAAAAACTGCAGAACCCAAACCACCAAAAAAGAAAATCAACCTTCTGTTGGTGGCATCTGACTCAGATGATGAAAATCAACATGCGTTGGTCTGCACTGCTTTGGATCGTTATTGAGAATAACCCATCATCAGCATAGTCACATGTCCTCTGGAGTGGTGGTTGAAGCATGAATGGACATATAAATATTTAGCACATCTGGCATGTAAATATCTTGCTACGCCAGCTACAACAGTGCCATGCAAATGCCTGTTCCCACTTTCAGGTAACATTGTAAACAAGAAGCAGGCAGTATTATCTACTGCAAATGTAAACAAACTTGTTTGTCTGAGTGATTGAGTGAACAAGAAGTAGGACTGAGTAGACTTGTAGGCTCTAAAGTTTTCCATCATTTTATTTTTGAATGCAGTTATTTTTCATACATAATTTTACATTTGTAAGTTCAACTTTCATGATAAAGAGATTGCACTACAGTACTTGTATTAGATGAATTAAAAAATACTATTTCTTTTGTTTTTTTAAAGTGCAAATATTTGTAATAAAGATAAATATAAAGTGAGCACTGTACACTTTGTATTCTGTGTTGTAACTGAAATCAATATATTTGAAAATGTGGAAAACACAAAAATATTTATATAAATAGTATTCTATTATTGTTTAATAGTGCAATTAATTGCAATTAATTTTTAATTGCTTGACAGCATACATATATATCTAGAGATAGATAGATAGCTTTATAGATAGATATAGATATGGATATATAAAAAAATGGGAGAAATACATTGAAATTTGAATGAAATATAAATAGTTAATAATATTGACTTTATGTTCAGACTTAAACCACATAAGGAAAAAAAAGTGAAGTCAATGAAAATGACTAATTTCTTTACATACCCTCTAAGCCTGAGTGATTGATATTCAATTTTCCAGCTAATCATCAGTTCCTGAGTGACCATGAACACTGAGCAAATACAGGGAAAAGTATACAGCTCAATGGAAAACGTAAAACTAAAATTGAAAATAACCTTCTACTGAGGTAGAAAAGATTGTAGTGTCCCAAACAAATATAATTAAAGCACTGAAAAGTATTTTTCCCTAACAAAAAAGAATTTGATTATAAATGTTAAACTTTCTCAATTATAGAACAGTAAGTCTTACATGTGTACTTGGAAAATTGGTTTCAGAGGAACAGCCGTGTTAGTCTGTATTCGCAAAAAGAAAAGGAGGACTTGTGGCACCTTAGAGACTAACCAATTTATTTGAGCATGAGCTTTCGTGAGCTACAGCTCACTTCATCAGATGTATAAATTCTAATGAAAAACAGAACAATGAAACACCTGGAAGATCATGATATGATAATGTCTAACTAGCAGGGCTTCTGCAAAGAAACATTGTGTACATTGTGTACATTAATCTCTTAGAATTCTTCGAGCATGTCAATAAATTAGTGGATAAAAGAGAACTAGTTGACATAACTTTTATAGATTTCCAAAACGCCTTCGACAAGAGTTTACTACAGAAACGAACTAATCCTCGGTTATTAGGCAAAATATTGTCATGGACCAAAAACTGGCTAGGAGGTAGAAAGCAAAAAAGTAAGATTAGACAATTTTTATCCTGGCAAAAGGTTAACAGGCCAGTGCCTCAAGGATGCATACTAGGTCCTGTACTGCCTAATATATTTGTTAATGATTTGTGAACAGTGTAGCAAGGTAGCAAAATTTGCAGAGGGCACAACGTTTTTGAGGTTAGTCAGGACCAGAGAGGACTGTGAGAAACTTTAGAAACACCTAAGAAAGCTAGATGACTGAGCAGCTGTTGTAGCATGCCCTCATCTCTGGAGCTAACTTGTGTCAAAGCTGGCATCACCCTGCATACTCCCTGGCTGGCCAGTGTGCAGCTGCGGGGGTGTGTGCCTGATACAGTTTCCTCTTACGGGCTCTCAGTAAGTTCAGTGAGGCTTTATGGAGTGAACAGTTTCCCTTCCAGGGTGGGGGGGGTCTCATTTATTTAATCAAAGGCCAAAAGGCCATGCAGGGAAGTCTTCATCTCTAGAGTCTAGCTGGGGAGTGAGAATTAATCTTAGTCTGTCTGCATCATTCAAATCCATCCTTCTTCTCCATCCAAAATCTTGATTTGGGATCCTCTTCTGGAGTCAGGCCTCCTGACACCACCTGAGGAATAGTTCCTTCTTGGGTCACAGGGCCCCTGCAGAGGTCAAACCACTGGAGCAGCACATAGTTCCCCAGTGATCAGGACCTCCTGCCACTGTATGGGAAGGTCCTTTTGCTGAAACTGGGCCTCCCTAGGCACTTGGCATTCATAGCCCTTCTCTCTCAGAACCTGCTCCCTCCAGGAGCACCTTTCCTAAGTCCATCTTTTCTGGTGGGCTCTCCAACCAGCTCTCTGAGAAGCTCCTTCCCTCAGGAAAGTTTCTTCTGTTCTGCTGACCTTCCTGACTGGACCCTCTTAACCCTTTATTACAACCAGGTATTCCTTAGCTATTTAACTGCAGCCCAGCCATCCAGGCAATTAACTACTTACAGGTAGATCTGGGTTGGCTCATGCTCTTTAGTGGAGCTTGTCTTAGGTCGGCTAGGTGCCTGCCCCTCTCAGAAACTCAGTTACCCTGTGACAGCACCCTGATGGCAAATGAAATTCAATGTACATAAATGCACAAAGTTATCCACATTGGAGGCAACAATGTGACTTGTACGCCTCACGGGTGTCTAAATTAACTGTATCAAATCAGGAAAGGGACCTGTGCATCTCTGTAGAGAGCTTGGTGACAACCTTGGCTCACTGTGCAGCTGCAATGAAAAAAGCAAACAAGATGCTAGGCTGCATAGGGAATGGGATGGAGAATAAGATGAAAAATATTATAATAACTTTATATAAACGAATGGTGCAGCCTCATCTGGAATACTTTGCAGTATTGGTCATCCCCTGTCAAAAAGGATATTGCAAAATTAGACAGAGTACAGAGAAGGGTAATAAGAATGATCAAGTGCCTGGAAAATTATCTTATGAAGAGAGATTGAAATGATTCAGATTGTTTACTATAGAAAGGAGATGAATAAGAAAGAGTACATAAAATAAAGACTGATGTAAAGAAAGTAGATCAGGAACTTCTGTTCTCCCTGTCTCGTACACAAGAACAAGGAGACATTCAATGAAATTAAAAGGTAGGAAATTCAACACTGATAAAAGGAAATACTTCTTTACATAATGGGTAGAAAGACTGTAGAACTTACTGCCACAGGAAGCTACTGAGACCAAGAACCTAGCGAGATTCAAAAAGGAATTGAATGTTTACACAGGTAACAAGAATATCCAGAAACTATAATTAAATACAAGCATTTTGGAAGAGATATTACACATCATGCTTCATGGCTTTAGCCAGTCTCTAACCATTAGAGATCAGGATAAGACCTAATGTGTGGGGCAGATCCCCTTGCATCTGCCTTCTACAGGGTTCTTATGCCTTCCTCTTGAGCATTTGTTGCTAGTCACTGTCAGAGAGACAGTACTGGATTAGATGGACTTTGGGTGTGATCCAGTGTGGTAATTTCTACGCTCCCAACTCTGTTTAGATACTATGGCGAAGAGTGCAAGACTAAAACTAACAAAGAAAGCTCCCCCTTATAGCAAGTAGGTGTTGTGACTGAGAAGAGACTGCAACATTGGACCCCAAATAAATAACTTTATAGCAATATGAGGCAAGGTCTCTCAACACTTGCTGCCCATTATTATCAAAAGAAAACTGGGAAGTGCAGGAGCTGTAGGGATGCTGACTCACAAAAGCATCCCTAGCCAACAAAGCACTTAAGCACATGCCTGACTTGTTAAGCAAGTGTCAAAGTCCCACTGAACAAATGGGAGTTAAACACCTGCTCAAGATCTTTCTGGAATAGGGATGTATTTAAACATTTGCTCAAGTGCTTTTCTGAATCAGGACTTTAGAGAGAAAAACATCTGAATTATTCTCCTGCTCAGTGTATATAGTAACAACTATCACTAGCTACAGCCGTTGAAAACCAAACTCCCAGGAGCACTGACTTGTGAGGTAAATGAGGGAACTTGCTGTTTTCACTAATTTCATTTTTTAAAATATGTTTGAGATGGATTTATGTTCTACATATGAACTGGTTTAAAATATAAATTCATCTTTCAATGTCTTCTCTCCATCCAGATTCATAAACAGTGAAAGAATGGGAGAAAATTTCCTTTCGGGCCACCAAACTTGATGGGAGCAGTAAACATAAGCCAGTGAGCAGAATGTAATTTTTCATGCAGAGTAGCTGAATAAACTAACAAGATGATGATGATGATGATTTATTAGTCTCTAAGGTGCCACAAGTACTCCTGTTCTCTTTGTACTTACACACAGTGTAATTTCACATTTCTTTGTCAAAGAAGGCAGGTACAATCACTAAGATATCAATGCAGCAAATCACATGCTTAAGTGTTTTGTTGGATCAGCATCTAATTTCATCTACATGTTGTAGCAGTCATCATTCCCTAAGCGTGACATCTACAGTGTAATCACATAGTTGTCCTTGTGTAATTATTAACACTTACTTGATAGAATTACCTTTCTCAAATTAGCCACCAACTTGGAAGGTCAGTTCACTCAAGGCCCAGTTCTGCAATATATCCATATTCAAAACTGAGTCAAAGATTGTGGGGTCAAATGCTTAAGAGTCCATATGCTCTAATAAATACACAAAGAAATTAGCAAAATAATAAAAGGATTAATTTTCAGACCTTTACCTTCATAGCCCCAGGAGCACAAATCATCTGTGGTTCCATAGATCTTCCATTTGCTCTTTACACTTGCTCCCTTGGATACTATGATATTTTCTTCTTCTCGGTTGCCAGAATGAAAAAATAAATCTTCTCCTTCAAGTGAAAACAGGGTTTCATTTCTGCATCCCCACTGTTGAAGTTCACTTGTCTTGTTGCAAGGATTCAGAGTGATTGCAACCTGGTCTTTCTTTGAAGGCACTCCCAAACATAATTTTAATGCCACACTCAAAAGCTGGTGATCAGAGACCCACTTGAATTTTTGTGACTCATTGTCCTGGTTGCAAATGGCAGTTCTGACTGAGCTAGAACTGTGAGCTTGTACACAACGTTTGTGGTCTTCATTATATATTAAAAATATTCCACTTTCTGAAAAACAACACGAGAAAAAACATTTTTTTGGCCAGAGGGGTTTGTAAGCAGAAGAGTAGATCTTTTCCTACTGAAGGAAGCATGATTTTTACCACTTAACTATAGGTTCTGTTAAACCTAAGCAGAAAGAAGAAATTTCTTCTGCAGTATGGATAACTGAGGAGAAAGAAATCAGGTGTCACTCATGCATGCAGAGAGAAGCAATCATTCACATACATGCACAGATAAAATGCATAAGACATTTTTCCAAGAAGCCTTTCTAAGATGAACTGTGAGAAATCAAAATAACTTCAAGTAGATGATATCACTGAGTATAGTGTGTTAAAATTGCTTTGTATGTTTATTAACTAGACTAACGTCTGTGGTAATATCTTATACATTTGTACAGCCTGAAACACAACATTGGTAATTTATATATTTTAAATATGATATATCATAAAAATCAACAACGCCATTTTAGAGACTCAGATTTTAAAGTTTGACAAATCCTAAGACCAAATTTCATTGCACTGATTGTCCATTCATTGGTGTCATTATTGTAAATAATAATAATAATAATAATGCTGTGCAATTTGTTGTATTACTGGCAATCATTTATTTATTATAACAACAAAGTATCTAACCTCCTCTCTGTCATTTACTGTGCTATCCTGGTCTGATTTTACTTTTTTAATAATCTGAAAATCAACCAATTGCCTATTTCAGTTATTTTTTTTTGAAAGGTTCCTACAGAGTATTTCTAATTCTCCATACTGAACCTTTCCACCTTCATTTTTCAGAAATATCAATTTCTAGTCAAATCTTTCACGCTGAACCCTACATTCCTTATACATTCAAAACTCATTGTGTCAAATTCCAATGCTACCCTGCTCCACAGAGTAGAACCAGCTGGCATTGTGTGGACATAGAGGTCTGTTCATAACCTGAGGGGACAATGTCTCTGCTCCAGGCATGGCAACACTATATAATGTTCCAGACACATTTCCTTTATTGCAAATCCAATTTTGAGTCTTTGATTCGTCTCTCGTGCATCCTAGTGTCAATCAGAAATAACTCCACTGAAACTAAAGGAATTACACCTGTGTAAAGGAGAGGTGACTTCAATCAGAACTTGTCTCTCTTGCCATAGGGAACATTTGTGAGGCATTTAAGGTTAAGCAGACAAGATGTTGTTTTTCACATCTCAGTTACACAGAGCTGCATCCCTATTCTATTGCTATAAGCCATTCAAATTAATAATTTCAGAAATAAAATATAAAGAATAATCAGACTGCATCAAACGGCGTTAAAGTGACCCAGGAAAAGCATGAGAAGAGAAGCACTTTCATATCCTCATTTACAACAGATCTAGGACAGGGACTTACCCAGCTGCTGAATAGTTTCATGGATAAGAGAGAGCAAAACCAGGAGTAGTGAGAGAGTGATTGCAACTATTTAATTGCTTTCTTCTGATGTGTCAGTAGTTCCTATCACAAACTAAAAGATCCATATGAAATGAGCTACATAGTAGGGCCTCCTTAGTTCTGAAGGCAGATGGATCAGGGGAAGTTTCTAAATAAGGAAATATCCTGTCACGTGTGGCATTTTGAAACACCAGGAATTCACAGAGCAAACTTTGATTATGTAAGTGAATCTCTTCCTACGGAGGCTAAAGTCTTCTTCCACAGAAATGCAAGCGGTAAGCAAAGTGGTGTCAGTTCCGTGCAGATTTTCTGGGGACATGTTTGTGTGAAAAAGAGGTCAGATATTTAGGTTGTCAAGTCTTCCGCTCTCCAGAGAGCAAATGCTGCACCAGCAGTAAAAGCACAATTTGTCCCTTTCCTTCTAGGATAAGCTTTAAAAGTCCTTCTAATACTGAGAATTATGATACCCCAAGTCACAGAAATCCTTCAGAATTTCTGTGATAAATACATGTGGTGTTCCTTTTTCAAGAATTAGAAGTTAGGATCTCTCTTTTCTCGTGCCATAGTTCATCCCCATAAAGACCTATTTAGAGCTGCATGGTAAGGTTGGGATGTAGTCTGCATGTTCCCATGTTTCAGAGAAACTGTATTTGGCTGTAAAGTTCAGCTCCAGAATCAGATCCAAATTCAAACTTTCCAAAGATTGAGAAAGTTGAAAACATTTTAAAAATGAGTACAGGGGTTTTTTTAATAGGAGTGTGAATAAGATGAGACTGAAGCCATAGTAAGGCAGCAATACAACTGATTGAAATGATATTTGCGAACATTTATTAGATTAATTGAGCCATTTTTTTCTCGTAATAAATTATGCACAAACCAATCGTTTTTTTTTTTTTACAATTTGTTCATCGGTCAGAATTGTTCCCTGAATCCTTTTTCCAAACACACATGGGCACGGGATTGTTTGTGAATGGCTCATCATGAATATTGGTCCTAATTTGCAGTTACTTTGTTCTTTTGCATGAGGCTGCAGAGAAAGGGGTGTAGCAAAGGTAACATTCCTTGGGTGAGATTCTGCATTGTGCCTCTAGGAGGGGCAGCACAGAACGCACAGCCCAGGGAGAGTGGGGCCCCTAAGGTGGCTTTAAGCTTTGTACAATTCAGTCCCGGGCTGCTCCAGGGCTGCTGGTGTAACTTTAAAAGCTGTGAGGAGTGCATCTAAGCAGAGTTGCAGGGCCACACTATGACCCACAGCCCTGCCCAGAATCTCCACAGTGCTGCATGCTGTGGCCTCGCATCTCACATATGAATCACACCCCCAGGTTATCCCCTGACATGTCCCCTACACCAGAGCTTGAGGGGGAGGGGGTCCTCACAGGTCTTCTGAAGTGTCTCCACCAGGTGAATCCTTCCCTTATAGAACCGGGGCGTTTGGGCCCCTTTACATCACGTCAACCCTTTTACCTGGCATCCAGGGGCTGGAGCAGGAATAAGGACCTCACCCCCTCTATTCTAGGTGCAGAGCTCTGCAAGTTCCTCAGAGCAGCCTCAGTCTACTTGTAGGCCCTGGGAAGAAGTGAGCTGCAGTAGTGTACGTACCTCTTGCTACAGTCAACATATTTACGATGCAGAGGCCTGGGAAAAGTGGTGGTGAAGAGCCTTTACACCAGCCTGTAGTCTCAGGAGGCTATCTGCACTCATTTTACAGCACCTTTACACTGCCACTCCACTTACTGTATGTTTATAGCATTTATGAGCTGCCTTGACTCCACATGCCAATGTTGATACACTGGTAGGTATGACCACCAGAAAACTCTTGTGAAAGAAAGTCACTTAGTGTTTCGGGTGAGAAGTGCTGTAACACGAAATAAAGTCATATGAGCTAAAACACCCATTGCAGATAGCAGGTATTTGTTGGAAAATGCTGAGAGATTAGATTCTAAAGTGAAATTATGCCAGCAGAAAAACTCAGAAGTCTCTGCTTTGATTATGAAACAGAGACCTAAATGCAAAAATTAGACATAAGCTATTTGTTTTGACAGCTCAACTTAAATCTCAAAAGGAATGAAAGATCCTTAAGGAGCTCCAGAAAATTAAAAAGGGGAACTGCATAAATTGCTGAATAATATAACTCTATGGAAATTCAAGCAACTATAAACATTAGACAAGGGAAAGAATATAATTTGAACTCTTCAACTGTGGACAAAATATGTTGATTGAATAAGAACATAAACAAAAATAAGTAAGAACCAGAGCTATGTGAATAACAGATTTTTTTTCTTTTTCTCTTTTTTTTTGGCAATTCTGCAAAAATTGAAAGAAAAATTCATTTTGCATCAATGGAAAACAACATTTTTCAAAATTCTCAGACAATCAAAATAATAATTTTAGATTGGAACAAAACTTTTTGTTTGAATGGAAATGAAATGTTTTGTTTTGCTTTTTAATGAAATTAAAGGAAATTTTTAAATGAAAAGCTCTTTTGGCTCAAAAATGTAAACACATTTGTTTTGGAAATGTTAAAAGAAAATGTTAATTTTTTTCTGATTTTAAGGGTTTTCTTGGCAAAAACCATTAGTTGAAACCAACATGAATTTGAAAAATATCTTGGACACCGAATCTGCATTTTTCTCCAAAAAAAGTTTCAGTTGAAACGTTTCACCTATCCCTAGTAAGAATCCTGATCAGTATCACCCAGATAACTCAAACCTTTGCTGAGTTTTATAGAACCCTCAGCAAGAAGCTCTCACATTTAAGGGTTTCCCCTAGACCCAACAGTGCAAAACTCATTACGCAAGAATTTATCGGACACTGTTAAAAATTGACCAAACAACACCGCCGTAAGCCCCAACTGGAGTTCTGGCAGATATTTTTTTCTAGACAGTATTGAAATTATTCTCCTCATCATTAACTGGTGCCTCCAGTTTTATTTTATATGAAGGCTTCTTCCGAGAATCATAGGAGACAGTAACGTATATCAATAATTCACAAAACAAGACAAAGATCTCACTCGGTGAACCCCCGCATTAATCACTTTCACTTAGACCTAAGTTATAAGACTTTTAAAAAATATCCAAATCTTGAGGGTTATTACTAATTTTTAACATAAGTCCTTATTCAGGTGAAATGAGGGCTCGGCTACATGGGGAGGTAGTGGGCAGCAAGCGGGGGCATAAATCTACAGCACACTAGTATGCCGCTCACTAACTGTCGACGTGGATCCTGCTATCATGCATTAAAAGTGATATAGTGTGCTTCGAACTACTCTGGGAGTAGGTCAATGCGCATTGGGGAACTTTTAATGCATGCAGGATAGTAAGGTCCATACGGAGAGTTAATGCATGACACACTAGTATGTTGTAGATTTGCACCCCAGCTTGCTGTACACTAACTCACTGTTTAGACAAGTCCTCCCATTTGACTTAATAATACCTATAATATAAAATATACCCATAATAATACCTAACTCTTTTATAACGATTTTCATAGGTGAATCTCACAGCACCTTACAAAAGAGGTCACTATCACTATTTTACAGATGAGGAAACTGAGGCACAGAGACTTGCTTAAGGTCACCTAAGAGGCCAGCATCAGAGCCAGGAATAGAACCTTGGCCTTCTGAGTTCCAGATTAGTGCACTATCCACTTGGCTACACTACTTCCCCTATTGTATGTTGTATACTGGGACAAGACAGACTTTATTCCAGGGAGACATGCAGAGGTAATGGTGGGAGGGTTCTGAATGTAACATCAAACAGATTCTCCCTGGAGCAGCAATGCTTTTACGGACCAATCCAATATCTAATGAAGTCAGTGGGAGTATTTCCACTGATTTCAATGGGCATTGGATTGGGGCCCTTAATTCTTGATGAGGAAAAAGGCTTTGGAGGTTGAGATGGCTGTACCTTTTTGAAATTGTGGAGATCATGGGTGTCTTGAATAGGTTCATACGTCAGATTAAATGAATTTATGGTCTGCTCAACTGATACCCCAATGAATACTCCATCACTACCCCCAAATTCTAACACCACATGTAGCTTCTGAAACAACAGCAACACACGCAAAACCTCCTTCATCACCAGAGCTTTTCCACCAGATCTTTATTTTGAAGTGTGGGAGTTCACAGGTTGTAATAAACACAACAAAAGAATTTTACATTTTCTAGGGAAAAGAGCCTGCTTAGGTTATACTACAGCCTTTAAGGACTAGGCGCTCAGTACAAGTGGACATGACGTATACAGGCTTATATGTAGATGGATAGACAGGTAGAATGTGGAGCTCCGCTTCCCCACATGCTTGTACTCTCTCTCAAATTACCAGTGAGTTATTTTATTAGAGACTCTCCTGCCTTTCCTCTGTTTTTCACTGCTTCATAGCCCCAGTCCACTGCTCCTGCAGTATTGCTAAGCAGGAAATAAATCCTCAGTTTGCTGGTGCTCATGCCTTTCCATCCTATCACAGAATTAAAAATGGTAACATGCCTTTAGGGAAAGAAAAACTGTGGACTCACTGTTCTGAGCAATTGTTTGTAATGACAGAAGGTAACTGGGGAGTGGCAGATAAAATTGTACAAAGGGGAATGGAAGACTAACCTATTCAGAAAAGATTAGATACTTTTTTTTGAGAAAGTAGCTGGGAATATTAATTCTGATGATCTGGGGAGGTAAGATAACATGGATAAAAATTAGGGCTGTCGATTAATCGCAGTTAACTCACACGATTATCTCAAAAAAATTAACTGCAATTTAAAAAATTAATCGTGATTAATCATGCTGTTAAACAATAGAATACCAGTTGAAATTTATTAAATATTATTGGATTATTTTCAAATATATTCATTTCTATTACAACACAGAATACAAAGTGTACAGTGCTCAGTTTATATTATTTTTATTATAAATACTTGCACTGTAAAAATGATAAAAAAGTAATAGTATTTTTCAATTCACCTCATACAAGTAGTAGTGCAATTTCTATCGTGAAAGTGTAACTTACAAATGTAGATTTTTTTTGTTACATAACTGAACTCAGAACCAAAACAATGTAAAACTTTAAGGCCTACAAGTCCACTCAGTCCTACTTCTTGTTCAGCCATTTGCTAAGACTAACAAGTTTGTTTACATTTACGGGAGATACTGCTGCCTGCTTCTTATTTACAATGTCACCTGAAAGTGAGAACAGGCATTTGCATGGCACTTTTGTAACTGGCGTTGCAAGGTATTTATGTGCCAGATCTGCTAAACATTTGTATGTCCCTTCATGCTTCAGCCACCATTCTGGAGGACATGCTTCCATGCTGATGATGTTCGTTAAAAAAATAGTGCATTAATTAAATTTGTAAGTGAACTCCTTGGGGGAGAATTGTATGTCCCCTGCTCTGTTTTACCTGCATTCTGCCATATATTTCATGTTATAACAGTCTCGGGTGATGACCCAGCACACATCGTTTGATTTACGAACACTTTCACTTCAAATTTGACAAAATGCAAGAAGATACCAATGTGAAATTTCTAAAGATAGGTACGGCCCTCGACCCAAAGTTTAAGAATCTGAAGTGCCTTCCAAAATCTGAGAGAGACAAGGTGTGGAGCATGCTTTCAGAAGTCTTAAAAGAGCAACACTCCGATGCAGAAACTACAGAACCCAGACCACCAAAAAAATAAAAATAAAAAAAATCAATCTTCTGCTGGTGGCATCTGACTCAGATGATGAAAATCAACATGCATCAGTCCGCTCTGCTTTGGATTGTTATCGAGCAGAACCCGTCATCAGCCTCGATGCATATCTTCTGGAATGGTGTTTGAAGCATGAAGGAACATATGAATCTTTAGTGCATCTGGCACATAACTTCTTGTGATGTTGGTTGTAAAAGTGCCATGTGAACGCCTGTTCTCACTTTAAAGTGACATTGTAAACAAGAAGCGGGCAGCATTATCTCCTGCAAAAGTAACCAAACTTGTTTGTCTGAGCGATTGACTGAAGTAGGACTGAGTGGACTTGTAGGCTCTAAAGTTTTACATTGTTTTATTTTTAAATGCAGTTGGGGTTTTTGGTACATAATTCAACATTTGTAAATTCAACTTACATGATAAAGATATTGCACGACAGTACTTGTATTAAGTGAATTGAAATATACTATTTCTTTTGTTTTTTACAGTGCAAATACTTGTATTCAAAAATAAATATAAAGCGAGCACTGTACACTTTGTATTCTGTGTTGTAATTGAAATCAATATATTTGAAAATGTAGAAAACTTCCAAAAGTATTTAAATAAATGGTATTCTATTATTGTTTAACAGTGCAATTATCCGTGATGAATTTTTTAAATCGCTGGGCAGCCCTAATAAAAATATTAGGTGGTTCTTTGTATGATTAACAAAAATAAGTGCCAGCTTCTGCAAAAGCTGAGACTTAAAAAGAGGAAGGCTATAAATTGGCAGGATTTAAACTTCCCGTTCCTTTCTCTGGACTCTGTGAAGATCTGGAGGATGAAAGTCAGAAAATTATAAAAAAAATGTAGAAACAAACTGAATATAGAAAGATGTGTTTTACGGACAGTTGCAAAATGAATGTGTGGTCTCAGACCAGATTCTACTGGAATCCCCAGCAAGTAGAAAAGCTTTGTACATCTCCACCAGCACAAAGCAGCATATTAGGACACAGCAAAGCTAGGGCTCATTCTCTCAGTTCCTAGCTCTGTCCCTTATATATGACATTCTGCAAACTACAGGCTATATTTTAGCCACTTGTAATGATACTTGCTTCAAAGGGGTTGTCAAGGTTCCTTTCCCACTCTGAACTCTAGGGTACAGATGTGGGGACGTGCATGAAACCCCTAAGCTTATTTTTACCAGCTTAGGTTAAAACTCCCCCAAGGTACAAACTATTTTACCTTTTGTCCCTGGACTTTATTGCTGCCACCACCAAGCGTCTAACAAATATATAACAGGGAAAGAGCCTGCTTGGAAACGTCTTTCCCCCCAAAATCCCCCCAAGCCCTACACCCCTTTTCCTGGGGAAGGCTTGATGAAAATCCTCACCAATTTGCATAGGTGAACACAGACCCAAACCCTTGGATCTTAAGAACAAGGAAAAAGCAATCAGGTTCTTAAAAGAAGAATTTTAATTGAAGAAAAAGTAAAAGAATCACCTCTGTAAAATCAGGATGGTAAATACCTTACAGGGTAATCAGATTCAAAACATAGAGAATCCCTCTAGGCTAAACCTTAAGTTACAAAAAGACATAAAAACAGGAATATACGTTCCATTCAGCACAACTTATTTTTATCAGCCATTTAACCAAAACAGAATCCAATGCATATCTAACTAGATTGCTTACTGACTTTTTACAGGAGTTCAAACCTGCATTCCTGCTCTGGTCCTGGCAAAAGCAACATATAGACAGAGCGAACCCTTTGTTTCCCCCCCTCCAGCTTTGAAAGTATCTTGTCTCCTCATTGGTCATTTTGGTCAGGTGCCAGCGAGGTTGTCTTAGCTTCTTAACCCTTTACAGGTGAAAGGGTTTTTCCTCTGGCGAGGAAGGATTTAAAGGTGTTTACCCTTCCCTTTGTATTTATGACAGGGGTGTTGGGAAGCTTAGTTAATGTTTGTAAAAGTGCATTGAGATCCGCACATAGAAGGGGCTAATTCTGTGCAAATACTATCATGGACTTCTCAAGCAAGTCTAGAGTACCTGCAGCGAGCTGATGGGCCTAGTCAAATCCTCAGCGTGGAATTCCAGGCCAGACACTGGAAAGGATGAGGAACATTTGATATTGCTTTCTTTGCAGCCAACACATCACACTGCCCTCTAGTAATGGCCACCTTGGCACGTGGTCTATGCCAGTGTTTCTCAATGACCAGTCTGTTGACTGGCACCGGGCCCTGAGATCTTCCTGACACAGTTTAGGAAGGCAGCAAGCTAGTCCCCAGTATCAAAAAGGTTGAGAAACACTGTTCTATGCCACCAGCATCTCTGAGGGTAGCTCCATTGTGTTTTCTTCTCTACCAAGGATAAAGACACACATCCTATGGATGCAGTTTATGACACTTCATATATAGAATGTGGTTAACTCAGCTGAGGTTCCATATTTATGAAATCAGTGAGTGTTTACAGTGGTTTTAGATCAAGCCCACATTTACATAAATCATACCCTTTTTTTCCTGGCTACACAACCCCTATCATGCAGCACATACAGAAAGGGATTCCTGCACCTTTTCTACTGAGCCAGAATTTCACCACAGTGATTGCCCAGCATGGAACCATCCCATCTGCCCTTTCTACCCCTCAACTTATTCTGCCTTTCCCAATTACACATGTATATCTGATACCATAATATGAATATTTTTTTTCTGCCACACTTACCTTGTATTCTGAAAATCTTCATCACAGAATACATGTTCTTAGTAAGTGTTACTGCATTCATGAGATTTTAATTTTTCCCATTGACACTCATGTACTCATTGTTTAAAATATGCACCTTACTTCCAGTTTGAATTTGCCTAGCTTCCAGTCAGAAGCATCTTCAATATTGGGACGTATGTAAAGTTAAACAGGTGAGCAAGTGTTGGCATGATCAAGGCCTATATGCTGAACATGTCCAACTTATGTTCTGTAAAGTGTTGTGGAAACTTACAGCACTAAACGCATGTTTTAAAAAACACAACATAAGGTGCTATGTCTGCCAGCCAACCTGATAAATGTCTATATCCTTTTTAAAAATGTGAACTACATAAAAAATGTTCCTATTTACAAGGCATAATAAAAATGCAAAACCTTTACAAACTATCTTTTAATGCTTATTTTACAAAACTACAGCAAAAGGTAAAGCAATGTACACTTTGCTTTCAGCCATTCATCTCCAGAGGGATACATTTTAATTCAAACATGATTGAAATTTCACAAAAGGAATAAACATTAGATTATATGACATTTCTTGAAGCTAAGACCTCAAGACCTATGAAGCGTTTTATTGTTTACATATTACAAAAAGCAGAATGCAGAACTGAAAGAACAGCAAGCATGGGCCTGATCTAGTGTTCTGGAAAGTCAGTCGAAAGAATCCCATTGACTTCAGTGGATCAAGCCCTATAAGAGAACATGTTGAGTAGCTGTTGTGAGGTCATCTGAACTGAAGTTATACAACAAAAAAAGTCTCTTTTTATATGCTGAAGTGAAATACAATGACACCAGCACGGAGTGCTGGAACTCTGGAGTGAGATGTGCAGGATTCCAATAGAACTAGACAGTTGCTTTTCTGAGTGCTTTGAAGAGTCTGTAATGATTATTCTCACAATCAGCATGATGAGCTTGGCTCTTTTCATGCTTGATAAGGATACAGGCGACATGTAGAGACAGTGGAATAGTTTTGAATGTTTTTCACATGGCTTGAAGTCATATTTGGTTCTTTTACGTGACTGCATTTATTAAATAGCCTCTCACAGAACTATTCTTCTACAAGTAGATCCAGAATCTTGCAAGACTATGGAAGGAATGTATGTAACACACAAATGCGGTCTCTGCAAAATGCACTACAATTTTAACCGGACAAAACAGCTTTGTCTTAAGGGTTCAGGTAGTCCAGATGCATTAATTTTTATCAAAATCATTTTTATTTTGTGAATCAAAGCATGGCTTGTTCATTCTGCTCAATGTTGGCCACAAGATACTTTGTGTCACTAGTTGCAGGAACAGCATCTTTATTGCAATAAAGAGTGTTGTCAAAGTGGACATCTGTTGGTAGCTGGTTGTGTCTTTTTTTGTAGAAAAAATAGGTTGCAAGACCAGCTCCGACTAGAATGAGAAGGACAAGAATAACTACCATCCCACTTAAGTGGTGTGCAGGAACAGCTTCATCTGTTTTCGGTACTGTAAATGAATGCAAAGCAATTACTCAGGATCCTAAGGATTATGATGATATATATTAGGGTCTGACAATGGGTCTGATTTCCGAAAGTTCTGAGCACCTATAACTCCAAGTCAATGTAAGCTGTGGAGAATCAACAGAAAATCAGGCCCAATGACCTTATTTTTGAAGGCAGAGGTTTATGGCTGCACGTCATTACAGTTTACAGATAACTTCTGTCGCGCTAGTCACAAAAAATATCATACAGAGGTCCAGTCAAAACACAATTAAATACCTTAATTCAAAATGAAATTGAGTTTGAAGGGAGAGTGCTGCTTTTTAGTCAGGTTGGAGATATAATAATCACAATAATACATTTCAAATAAACATCCACACAGCTGGGTATCAAATAGTAATTTTCTCAGAAAATAAAATAAATATTCAAAAAAGAACTAGATAGATTCATGGAAGACAGGTCCATCAATGGCTATTAGCCAGGATGGGCAGGGATGGTATCTCTAGCTTCTGTTTGCCAGAAGCTGGGAATGAGCGACAGGGAATGGATGACCTGTTCTGTTCATTCCCTCTGGGGCACCTGGCACCGGCCACTGTCGGAAGACAGGATACTGGGCTAGGATACTTGACCTTTGGTCTGACCCAGTATGGCCGTTCTTATGTTCTTAAATTTATAACCTGATTTGGGTCTCTCTTTAATTTGCTTATAAGAAATCAGTCCTACCTTTATTGTCTGATGGCTTCTCAGTTGGTTCAACTTCAGTAACTTTCAAATTAAAAAAAAAGATATTCATAGTCTTTAAGTCTCCATTTTACACCAGATTGTACAGTCACACAGAGTAAATAAATCCTGTTTGAAGAATTACTATGTTGGGCACTCTGCATTTTAAAATAAAGTAAAATAATGGAGATGAAAAATATCTGACAACACCTTTAATTTAATCTAAATGAATCATCTACCCAAATCAAGCAAAACATTCCAGTTAAAAATTAGATCCAGGAAAAAAAAATTATATTTGTTTTTTTTTTGCATGAAAAAAATGTTACCAGTTGATTTGGGATGATTTCACACCTTCAGAATGTCAAGCCTTCATGACATTTTGAGAAGCTGAAGATTTTTCACACTGAAGTATGGGGAAAACTGAAAATTCATATTTGCATTTTTAAGTCTAGGACGCCAAGATCAAGGGGGCAACAGAAAAACAGACTGGGTCACAATTCCCCTCTTCCTTCCATTGAGTCCTAGGCACATTCTCCCATCTACTTTCCTCACAGTTACATACATCTTAGTATCCTTCCACTGCTGCTTCTCAGCAGTATCTCCTTCCTCCCTTTCAGCAGTAGCTCTGTCATTCTGGGTCCTCTCACCCCCGGTTAACTTCCGCTCAAGTTCTTCCCCTCACATCCCACCTGCAACTCCTCTGTTTTGGCTTCTCCTCCTCCCTAAACCCTTCTGGTTGTACCCTCTCCACCTCCCTACCAACAGAGCCTGGTTTGATTAGTGAGCCTGCTCTTCCAAGGCACTAAGAATAAGGGTGATAGGAGCCCGGGACTCCTGAGTTCCACTCCATCTCTTTCAGCAATTGCCCTTAAATGGGAGTTTCAATGGGATTTCGATGGGAGTAGGATCAGAATATCTACCACAAACATAGGCAAGTACAGAATATGCAATGCAAAGGATTTTATAGCATAAATATTAGTCATTGTTAATAACCCATTGTACTGAGTATATCACTTACTCTTTGGTATTTTACAAATAAATCTTTTGTCAGCAGAGCAGAAATAGCTTCTCCAGCCCCCATCTGAGGCATCCATGTCAACACAATGTTCATGATAACCATCCGTAGGTTCTCTTTCTTTCCAGTTTACAAACTCTACTGCACTGTTGTCTCCCCATGTCCATTCTCCTAAAGTTAAAATGAAAAATACAGAACAACAAATGGCAGGTTAAGGATCACTCATTTCTAGAGATTAAAACAATATCATATGATTTCTATGGCACCTGTCACTGTTGTATCTGAGCAGTGAATTCATTAATTTATTAAATCAATACATTAACATTTTATAGGACTCCGTTTTCTCTCTCCTTCCAGGCAGACACAACTGAGAATGCCTTATGTCTGTAAGGTTTCACCTGGACACTGCTAGCTGCATTGTCCTAGAGGAGTGCAGCTGCCTCAGTGAACTGGGAATGGAATGGCCAGGCCCACTGAGCCTTGAAGACTAAGGGTTTGTCTACACTTGCGAGTTAGGGCACATTAAAGCAGCCCCAGGCACCCTAGTTCACTACCCGTCCACACTGGCAAGGTATGTAGAGCGCTCTGACTCCACGGCTAGAGCGCTCCTGGTACTCCACCTTGGCGAGAATATTAACGCTTGCTGCACCTTGGCTGAAACACCGGGGCGTCAGTGTGAACAAGGTGTTGCATTACTGCATTCTGATCAGCCTCTGGAAACATCCCATAATCCCCTTAAGTCAAGTGGCCACTCTTCTCATTGTTTTGAACTCGCTGCAGGAATGCGGATATGCCCTTTGAAAACTCCATTTCTAACAGCCGGCTGCTTATCTGCTCCGAGACGAAGCAAGCCACTCATGTGGAGTTCTGTGTGTGAGAGGGGCGTGGGTGGGGGGAGTCTGCTGGTGTCTGACCTTACAAGACAGAATGCTGACATGCTCTCAGCTCCCCCAAAACCCACTCTCTCTCTCCCCCCACATACACACCACACACTCCACCGCACCCCACCCCCATTTGAAAAGCACTGTGGCTATTGCAAGAACTGCTAATGTGGCCAAGCCAGTGCGCTTGCAGCTGTCAGTGTGGACAGACTGCAGCGCTTTCCCTACTGCGCTCTATGAAGGCTGGTTTAACTCAAAAGCGCTCTGCATCTGAAAGTGTAACCATGCCCGAAGACCAGGACTTTGAACTCGCACCAGAATTTGCACTGGGAGCCAGCATAGTGGGTGGAGCACCACAATGTATTCTCTGTGGTCATTCAGATGCAAGGATCTCAAGCAGCCCCTGCATTAGAGCCAAGACTAGAAATCAGCTCCCTTACAAGGTCTGGCTCGGTTCGTTTATTCTGCCTGATTGTATCAGGACGACTTAAAAAATACACCTATTGATCTCTGCTCTTCCCTTACTCAGGCCCGGCCAGCAGGACTAGGTGCTACTTCCTGTGTCTCAAGGATGAAGGGAATCCCAGTGCCCAGACTTGGAGCTAGATGGAAAATGAAAATCAATTTGTTTTCATTAATGGAAATTTTCAAGTTTTCAGCAAATTAAAAACCAAAATAATTTCACTGAAAACTCATCTTTTTGCCAAAACTTGTGACTGAAAACTGAACAGTTTGATTCAGAAAGGCTGTTGCAGTGCCTCATGGGAGCTGTAGTTCCAGGGCCTCGGACTCGGAAAGTCTAGTACCAGCAACTGTGCTGAAACCATCCAATGGGCCCAAAAGGTGTACATCGGTAAGGAGGCATGTTCCTGTCTATTTTCTGCACCACCCAGGATCAACCAGCCAGCAAGGAGCAGAATGCTCACTTCACACTGCAGTGGAATTAATGGTATACCAAAGGCTGCTGTTATATATGCTCTCCGAGGCTTCTGAGGGTATTGCATCTAGCTCAAACAAAATACCAGCAAGAGCAGTGGCTGCTACAGAAACCCTCCTCGTATCCCCGCCCCATCACAGGCTGTGGCTTCATAGGCACAAAACAGCATTACAATGCTAACCAATAAATACAGAAATATATTTCTTTAAAAGACTTTAGCAGACTTTTCAGATCTTCCTCTTGCACTTGCACTTAACACTATAAGATTTCTTCAAAAACTGAGGTGCTGTGAAGTTTGGTTAAATGTCAAGGGAATGAAAGAAAAGTGTGAAATGAAATAAATTGGATGAAATACTGTAGGCATGTAATATTTTCTATTTCCAAGAGAGAGACGGGGATGTAAAACGTGCAGTCACCTTTCTGAATCATTTCTCCTTTTTGTGTACTATAACTGAAAAATATTAAACATTTGACATCAGATTTCCATCTTCTGTTTGAGTACTTATTTGTAAATAACTATTGAAAGTTAAATAATTACCATCCACATTCTTGTACATTCCTATCCAAAACTGTCTTGAGTCACTTGCAAATACATCCAAGTGGTGCAAGAGAAAATTCATTTCAACCCTATTTTCTATGGAAACCAAAGAGGCTCCTGCAAAACATAAATTAATAAAGAAGCATAATTTAAGCATGTTTCACCATAGAAAATGATCTGCCCCTTGAAACAATCATGATGACATTTTCTTAACCCTTTTGATACATTTAAAATAGCGATAGACTGTAATTAATTTTTGTCACTGAAGTCCATCAGAGCTCCAGAAACAGATCAGTAACAGCCCTTGCAGTTTGCTCTTTAGAGGAAAACATCCTTTTCTTTGAGCTGCTATGCTGGTTATCTCCAGGCAATACATATCTTATATTAGTTTTAGCACATTTGCCAAATATGCTGTATTTGTATGCTCCATTTTTGCAATTAACCCCAATCCTTCCCTGTTGTTTAATGTGCCGGAGACAACACAATTAGAAAAATGCAGCTTTTTTTTTAATATATATATATATATATTCCCTCTTGCACTGGGGATAAAAAAAAAAAACAAGAAAGAAGAGAGAAGCTGTTTTGGGAAATAAGAAATGTCATCATACGCCAGTTAAGGGGATGATCTTATTACCACCATAGTCCCCGTTTCCTCAATACTGATATCCTGTTGTATTAATGTAGATGGAATAAGCGGGGCCTAAGAATCAAAGGTATTAACGTGATCTTCCACTGTCCAACATTAAACAGAGCTAAACAACGTCTAGTATATAGAGTCCTCAGACTCCTTAGTACCTTGGCAAACACATCATTAAAATATTTTAACCTTTTATTAAAGATACAGAAAACAAGAAGGGGAAAGGTTAAAGCATGCGAAATGTAAAGTATTAAGTAAGTCTTCCATTTTAACCATATCGCATGTTACCCTTCCCTCTAGGTGGAGAGAGTTTTTAAAAAGAACTGCCCTCCCCCATCATCTGACAGTCTCTTGGATGGTATTAAAAATGGTAATAACTTCTTTTTGGGGAAAAGAGAAAAAGTTAGTTGAAATGGGCGGGGCTCTTGTTAAAGTCTAATTCTGTTTCCTAGAAGACAAAACAAAAGGGTGAAGGAAAGAACAGCTAAAACAGAAAATACTGTTTATGTATCTGATGTTGACTCTCACTTGCAACTTCACTACTGGAAAAACACAGGCATAACACATGGTCTTATCAGCCACTCCGAGACCTGGCAAACTTGTACCACTATTGGGCTGCCCAGAGCATTGCATTTGCATTTGCATGTTGCAAAATATGCAGTCTTTGCTGGCTAAGCCAGATCCTTATTAAGCAGAAGGAAAATGGAGAGAGAGAGAGAAAAAGAAATAAGGTGGGGAAGGAAAAGGACACATGGGGGGTGGAGACACAGTGTCACATCTCAGGTCGTGGCTGGGATGTCGCTAAAGCTGGTAGAAGTGACCCAGTGTCATGTGGGTCCCTCTGTCTGACCTGGTCTGATGAAGGTGGAGGCCTGGTAACTCCAAGGATCCCAGGAGACGATGTGGGTGGCAGACATGATGGTAAAGTTTGCTCCTTCCCCTTCTCTAATCTTTCAGACAGCCAACATAGTGGTAGCCAGCTTTTCCCAGAAAAGTTTCTTTTTGAGGACCACAAAAGGGAGCACTGGGTGGAATAGCCCATCCACTTATTATTTTATCCACCAATTAGGCCTAATAACCAACATGATAGTTTTGGTTAATTGATTTTCAGTCCCACATGTCTCTTATTTACTAGGCATCATCTCAACACAGTCCTAGAATTGTACCAGTAAGCCTTTTTGTTTGGACTAATTTAGTCTGTCTCCCTCTTGTACCCTTTCCCATTTATTGTCATAGGTTGTTGTGATATTTTATAAACTTTTACTCACTTCTTACAGTTGAGCTCACAATTAGGGTAAATTTGTAGGCCCAATTATTACAAGAGATCAGCACTAGGTTCTTTTCCTTTTATGGTGGATTTGCCACACTAGGGTGCCAACATCTGTTTAAGAAGTATTAAACTGAGACCACCAACTCATTTTACAGAGTCCACATAAAATCCTGGGTTGTGGCTAACAACAAAGTCTCCCCTTCTTGAAGTGCTCTGTTCATTAGGGCTTTAACAGAATAAAATATCAAGAAACTCTCTCATTTTGGCACAGACCAGGAACTCCTTTTACAGTCATTAAATTGAAACAAGTAAAAGGAAACCAAGAGGGTCCAAAACACGACTTCCTTTTCCCAGGTACTGGAGCAAGAGCCCTTGCAGACCTGCATCTTGAACTCCCAGCTTCCTTCCTTTGGAAAGTCAGCGGATTAAACTCCTACTGCTAAATTAATTGACAGGATACCAAATGCCACCTGATAAGTAAACAAAATCTCTTAATCCTTGTTGATCCTGGTTCCTCCTGATACAGGTTCAGGGTAGTGGCTTTTATTTCCAGGGACCAGGATGCTGTTAGCCCATATGTGTTCCCTCCTCAAACCCCGAATGGCCAGTGCACCATGTCTCACCACCAAACAGTAATCACATAGCAACTAATTTCAGGTTTCAGAGTAGCAGTTGTGTTAGTCTGTATCCCCAAAAAGAAAAGGAGTACTTGTGGCACCTTAGAGACTAACAAATTTATTTGAGCATAAGCTTTTGTGAGCTACAGCTCACTTCATCGGATGCATGCAGTGGAAAATACAGTGGGGAGATTTTATATACACAGAGAACATGAAACAATGTAACGAGAGTGATCAGGTAACGTGAGCTATTACCAGCAGGAGAGATGGAAGTGGATGTGTCATTACACAAAGTAAAACTATTTCCCCATGTTTATTCCCCCCCCCGCCACTGTTCCTCACACGTTCTCGTCAACTGCTAGAAATGGCCCACTTTGATTATCACTACAAAAGGTTTTTTTTCTCTCCTGCTGGTAATAGCTCACCTTACCTGATCACTCTCCTTAAAGTGTGTATGTGTGTAACGTGTGTAAAGTGTGTAACGCCCATTGTTTCATGTTCTCTGTGTATATAAAATCTCCCCATTGTATTTTCCACTGCATGTACCCGATGAAGTGAGCTGTAGCTCACGAAAGCTTATGCTCAAATAAATTTGTTAGTCTCTAAGGTGCCACAAGTACTCCTTTTCTTTCAACTAATTTCATTCACTCTCAACCTTTGCCAGGTTCAGACCAGTGGCCTTGTGACAAGTGAGAGTAGCCTTAGGCTGACTCACCACTCTGAGTATTTGGGAAGCATCCCCACATGGAGCAAATTAGGGAGATAATTATTAAGGACTGAATGATTAACCAATTAACAAGGTGGCTCTGCTCTTCAACTGAGGAAAGCTAAAAGGTAGATAGTACGAGGAGTAAGGTTGGGGTCAGAGGGATAAATATTGTTTTGTTTCACCCTGACCTTTACTGTAAAGTTTTCCAGTTTTTCATTCTGAAAGGGGGGAAAGGGCTTCCTTTAATTCCACTTTCCCCACCAACCTCTTTCCTTCTCACCCACTTCCCTCCAGTGCCCCAGTTTTTCACTTAAAAATAAGCAATGAGCCTACAGGAAACTGTTAGGTCCTAATTAAAGATGACACTCACCTAAGCGAACACATTCCATGGAAGCCTGGGGCCAGCTTTCCATCTCCGAGGCCTCAATGTAGTAACAGTGACCATGGAAGGGAATCCAAGATCTGCGTATGTCAGATGCAGGACATTTTCCAGGGAGTTGTGGAGGTTCAGTAGGGGCTACAACTGATAAGAAACCATGCTGTATGAAAGCAATAAAGGCTTCTCAGATATGTTACTGAAAACACATATATACTGTACCATAAGCAGCCACTACTAATTTGGCCGTGATAGCATGAAAAAGAACCTCAGATATTCATGGTTCATGATCTGGGCAAGATTCTCTACTCTGCTATGGAAGTTTTACATTGGGGTAACTGCATTGACTTTAGCTGAGGCCTGGTCTATACAACACAGTTAGGTTTACACAAGGCAGCTCATGTTGGCCTAAGTATGTCAGTGTCTACAATACTACAGCCTTGTCCCACTGATGTAAGTGCCCTACTACACCGACATAATAACTCCAACTCCCCAAGAGGTGTAGGGCTTATGTCAGTGTAGTTAGGGTGACACAGCATCTGTGTAGACACTGTGTTACTTACATCGGCTGTTGAAGCCATGAAATTGACAAGAAAGCCAGACAGCTAGAGCCCAGCTGCACCCCACTCCTCTGGAGAGCTGGGTGGCTGGACCCCACTCCTGGCTGGAATGATTAGGGGGCTGGAACACATGAGTTATGAGGAGAGGCTGAGGGAGCTGGGATTGTTTAGCCTGCAGAAGAGAAGAATGAGGGGGGATTTGATAGCTGCTTTCAACTACCTGAAAGGGGGTTCCAAAGAGGATGGCTCTAGACTGTTCTCAATGGTATCAGATGACAGAATGAGGAGTAATGGTCTCAAGCTGCAGTGGGGGAGGTTTAGATTGGATATTAGGAAAAACTTTTTCACTAAGAGGGTGGTGAAACACTGGAATGCGTTACCTAGGGAGGTGGTAGAATCTCCTTCCTTAGAGGTTTTTAAGGTCAGGCTTGACAAAGCCCTGGCTGGGATGATTTAACTGGGAATTGGTCCTGCTTTGAGCAGGGGGTTGGACTAGATGACCTTCTGGGGTCCCTTCCAACCCTTATATTCTATGATTCTATGATTCTATGAGAATGGAGCCCTCTCCCAGCTGGGAGCCACAGGCGACTAGACCCTGATTCTGGGGGGGACCGAAAAAGCCAGGGCAGCTGATACTAGACTTTCCAATAAATCTCCATTGATACTTCCTGTTGGATTGACAGATTTGTAGATGAGTAGAAAAGGCCTAATTCTGAAATTCTTGAGCATCCAAAACTCTCATTCATGTCAGAGTATTTGGATATGTAAGGGATGCAACAGTGGGTCCACAGCTTACAGGCTAAAAACAAAGTGGCATAATGCCCCAATTAGTTTGTAGAATAAACTTTGAAAAATCTTTAGAATTCACTAGTTAGCGTCTGTCAAGCGCCAAGAAACTGTATCAATGACTATTTCCTTTATAGAAACCAATATTGGAGCAGAGTACACGTCAACGGTCACATTCATCATTTATATATACAATAGAACCTCAGAGTTACGAACGCCTCAGGAATGGAGGTTGTTCGTAACTCTGAAATGTTCATAACTCTGAACAAAACGTTACGGTTGTTCTTTCAAAAGTTTACAGCTGAACATGGACTTAATACAGCTTCGAAACTTTACTACACAGAAGAAGAATGTTGCCTTTATCTTAATTTAAATGAAACAAGCACAGAAACAGTTTCCTTACCTTGTCAAATCTTTTTTTAAAAACTTTCCCTCAATTTTTTTTAGCAGGTTACCTTTAACGCAGCACTTTGCTGTATTTGCCTTTTTTTGGGGTGGGGGTGGGGGGTCTCCGCTGCTACCTGATTGTGTACGTCCAGTTCCAAATAAGGTGTGTGCTTGACTGGTCAATTCGTAACTCTGGTGTTCATAACTCTGAGGTTCTACTGTAGTCATAATCAAGACTTGAATGCATTTAAACTTGAAGCTCACTAATTAAAATTGCTAAATTCAGTTGCTTACCATCAGACCTTTTACAGACAGAGAAGTAATTTTCATCACAAGACCCTGTCTTCCAGGTCCCATCAACATCTAAGTAAACACAGGCCAAGCTCCGTTTTGGCTCCTCACTGGCCCACTTAGAGTACTTGATTCTCCAGTTATCAGTCCATTTGTAAAGGCCACTAGTCTAAAAACAAAAGACAATTAAGATAATATTGCATCCAAAAACTGCCTTAAAAAAAGACTATTAAGGTCACAAACTCATGCACTGGAATGTCAGAAATAAGTTTGTCTATAAAACCTTAATTCAGCCCCCTTGTGTTTATGCCTTATGACATGATCTTTAATTACATGATCACACACTATTTCTTTCCACAGGATGCCTGCTTCTTTCAGAGCACAGAATGGATGGTGCTCACTGAATGGGAAATTATTCAATATTAGATTTCATCCTCATTGTTCAGTATATGTCCCCAGGCCTTATTTATGGCACAGTACTCAAATTCTGCTTTGAAAACAGAATTATTCATTTCCTAATGAGCTTTTTTATGGTGCTCATCGCTATAGTATCTGAGTGCTTCACAAACATTAATGAGGTGAAGTGATATTATTATTCCCATTTGACAGATCAGGAACTGTGCACAGAGATGTTAATGTCAAAAGTGTGCCCTAATTTTGAGTGGCCCATGACAGATGCATATGACCTGATTTTTCAGGTAACTTAGCATTATAAAGCGCTTTATATGTTCCTATCACAGATCCCATTGACTTCAGTTGTAGTTGTGAGTGCTCAGGACTTCTGCAAAATAGGCTCCAAATATCCCAAGTTGGGCACCCAGAAAACAGGCACATACAATAAAACCATGTCTACACTGGGATACTCAGGAAAGTTAAGGCAAATCAGCCAAAGGTGTGAAGTTAATGTGCATAAGTTAAAGCACATTAAACTCCCACTTGGCTGCTCAAAGGAGGATTAAGTTACAGTGAGCTAAGGTCACTTTACTCCTAAGTGAGAGCATCTACAGGGGGGTTTAATGCACTTTAACTTGCGCACATTGATTTCACACCTTTAGTTGATTTGCCTTAACCTCTGAGTATCCCCGTGTAGATATGGCCTTACTGACCACCTGTGAAAATGTTAATTTAGTGACTCACCCAGCATTACTCAGGAACTCTGGGGCAGAGACAGAATCCATTTCTTCAAGGGAGTATTCTATTACCTAAACCATGAGACCATCCTTGCAATCATACACCTTCCAACGTGTGCAACATATGTCTCAGTGGTCCTACAGACAACAGCCACAATCACTGCACAGCCCCAAGTCATTCAATGAGCACTTTCCAGGCTGTGCACTGAATTAAGCAGGGATACTGTGGGAAAAAAATAGCATGTGATCATATGATTAAAGACTATAGGATAGCACATAGGTGCAAAGAGTCCAAATTAAGGTTGCACACAGAATATTCTTAACATTCATAGTTTTTTAAAAAGAAAAGGAGTACTTGTGGCACCTTAGAGACTAACCAATTTATTTGAGCATGAGCTTTCGTGAGCCACAGCTCACTTCATCAGATGTGTACCGTGGAAACTGTACTTTCCTAGTTTTTTGTTTGTTTAAAGCAAACTGAAAAAACACAAATTCCACCATGTGGAACCATATTGACTCCCACTGGTCTTATAAGTAGGGCTAGAACCTTTGGCTCCACAGCACAGACCTCCACTACTTGAGCTAACGAGTGACTTACAGCAGTAGTAGGTTGTTATCCTCTGTGTAGGCCAGCAATTGCAGGGAGAAGAGGCACACATTTGTCAGCCCATTTTGCCACAATTTGCTGACCACAGTGGAATGCTGAGGCTCAAGACTCTTGGGTAGTGGTCATAGACTTTCTGCCTCTGACCTCCCCAAGCCTGACCCCTTCTGCCCTGGGCCTCTCCAGCCTGCTCTTGGCCCCCCTCCCCAGGCCTCTTGTTCCAGTTCTCCACCTTCCTGAACTCCTCATCCTAGTTTTTTTTTCTTCAACCCCAGCACCCTTATCTCAATCTCCCCCACCCTCCCTTGGCTCCTTGTCCCCTGCCACAGCTTCTTGACCCAGCCTTGCTACCCCTGCCACAGCTTCTTGACACAGTTCCAGTCCCTCATGTTTCCCCAGCTCCATTGCCCACCCTTTCCAACTCTTTGTCCCAGTCCGACACCTGCTCCCCACCCTGGTATCTTTGTCCCCCTCCCCCCAGGCTCAACTGCTCAGCCCTGTGCATTTCAGCCATGCTTCCTCCTACCCCTCCTGCTCACTGCCAAGCAAGGAGACCACAAGAAAGGCCAACTCCCTGCTCATGGTTCCTGTGCCTGGTACCTCGGTGGCCCCTGATTGGCAGGCAAAGCATTGCAAGGAGAGTCTTTGCTCCGGCCCTGCAGCCTAGGGCTGGAGCGCATGCAATTGCTCTGTGGAGAAGGGATGGTCGCAGTGAGGGAACGGATCATGCCCACAGCAGATGGAATCTTTGTATAACTTAGCTGCCAAACTCTAACAAGTCTCTGCTGAGCGTGCGTGATCTGAGATGTTCAGAGGCTAATAACTCAGCCAAATTTGGGCAGATTGTCATGGGGAGGGCAAGTAGCAGAGCCTTGGCCCCAGCCCCTGTCAGATTTAAACCCCTGCTTCCAAGTACAGAGGGACTAAAGCTTCCCAACAGAACAGGTGTGAGCGCGAATTAAGAATGTAAGTAAACAGATGTGGTAGCACTATAGCCCTGGCCACTGGAACAGACAATGGCAGTGACAGAGCCTCTGCAGTAAATTCAGCCCAAAGAGTTCCAAAGCGCGAGGCCCACACTTCTGCAGGCACCTGGTAACCCACATTCTGCCAATAGTTGGGGGATCCAGTGACCTGCAAAGTGGGTGGCATGGACTGGGAATGGTGTGATGCCCGGACAGCTAGGGGATAAGCTGATTTAACGCATCCCCTTGTCATTCTCCCTGGATTTTAAAATTGCTTCAATTCAGTGGAAATTCCAAAGGAAGGCAAGCAACAGTAACACTGCCTGCCCTTCCGCAGTATCAATCAGGCACCAGCTTCAGTGAATCAGGCCTTGAGGCTTTTGGGATCTTCAACCATTTTGCTAAATAATTTTTTTCAAAAGGAAAACACCCCCTTTCACCTGCTGTTTGTTTGTCCTGTTAGGATATAGATATTCAGGCCTGTCTGCAAAGGCCTGTACTTTAAGAATTTAGGTGTATTCTTATCGCTTGGCTAGTTCTAGAGGTATAAAAGAAAGAAATCACTGTCTGCCGGTGTAAGGGCCTTCTCTTACTGTGACAGTTTGTGGCCCTGTGCTTAGGCTCAGGCCTTTGGCTAAGCAGCAGAGGCAGCCATAAGCTGGGAAGCGAACGGTCACATCCTCACATTCCAAACTAGTCACATTGAAATAAGGTGCTATTGGGCTGTTAGGCACTATCAGGACAGGATTGTATTCCTATCACCTCCAGAGGAAGGGAAGTGCCTAGAAAATGTAAAAGGAAACTTAGTTTGATAGCATCCTGTCTGGCAAGAACTCACTTATCAATAGCTGGGATGTGAAATCCTCACTTCTGTATTGTTTTGTCATTATAGTTCCCACTTTGCTGTTGTTTGTCTGTATAATCTCTGTCTGGTTCTGTGATTGTTCCTGTCTGCTGTATAATTAATTTTGCTGGGTGTAAACTAATTGAGGTGGTGGGATATAATTGGTTACATAATCATGTTACAATATGTTAGGATTGGTTAGTTAAATTTCAGGAAAATGATTGGTTAAGGTATAGTTAAGCAGAACTCAAGTTTTACTATATAATCTGTAGTCAATGAGGAAGTGACGGGGGTGGGTGTGGGTGGGCATGTGGGTGTGTGAGATGGGAACAGGGAATGGGGGTAAGAAAATTGGAATCATGTTTTGCTAAAGGGGGAGATGGGAACAGGGAATGGGGGTAAGAAAATTGGAATCATGTTTTGCTAAAGGGGGAAATGGGAACAGGGAATGGGAGTAAGGAAGTTGGAATCATGTTTGGCTAAGGGTAGGAATGGGAACAGGGACACAGGCGTAGAAGGCTCTGTGGTGTCAGAGCTGGGAAGGAGGATACTAAGGAAGGAAACTGGAATCATGCTTGCTGGAAGTTCACCCCAATAAACATCGAATTGTTTGCACCTTTGGACTTCGGGTATTGTTGCTCTCTGTTCATGCGAGAAGGACCAGGGAAGTAAGTGGGTGAAGGAATAAGCCCCCTAACATGTCCCTTCTCCCATTCCCAGGATTCCCCCTCTGCACCTATCCCCATGTTCTTTCATGGCTTCTCTCCCTCTCCCACCATTTTTATGGCTTCCACTCTCCTACTGGTCTCCTCACATTACTGTAAAAAGAAAAGGAGGACTTGTGGCACCTTAGAGACTAACAAATTTATTTGAGCATAAGCTTTCGTGAGCTACAGCTCACTTCATCAGATGCATTCAGTGGTTTTCCACTGCATCCGATGAAGTGAGCTGTAGCTCACAAAAGCTTATGCTCAAATAAATTTGTTAGTCTCTAAGGTGCCACAAATACTCCTTTTCTTTTTGTGAATACAGACTAACACGGCTGCTACTCTGAAACCTGTCACATTACTGTGTTTCCACAGGTATATAATTCCACCCACAGTTTGTCTCCTCTTCACACACCCTTGTCTCTGTCTCCCCCATGCCCATTTCCATGGCTCCCACCATTCACTAGCTATAGCTTAAACTGCTTTTGAAGCATGCTAACAGGAACAGTGGGAGTTCTTTCACAATCACTGCTCAACTATGAGACAAAAGCAAGCACATCAAACAGAGCCCTTGGTAATAACTGCAGACAACACTTGAGTAAGGAATGTGGGAGGTCTGATTTGACAGAGCATCAGCATCATATTCACACTTATTTGATGTTCTTACCACATTGCTGTTAAGACCTATCCATACAGGCTGCCCGATCTTTAACACTTGTAGCCACAGGAATGACTGGCTGTACGGATCTAAAATACTGGCAAGTTCTGAGTATTCAGCCTTGCAGTTTTTTTGTGCTTCTTCCCAGTTCATTCTGGAACTGATGAGTGAATAGCCACTGTTACCATAAAGGGTAAAGCCTGAGACTGGAACTGTTGTTTGGGGATTATATAATTTAGGGTCTGTAGTAAAACAAAACAAACACACACACACATGGAAAGGTCATTTTGTAGTACATGGACTTACTGTTCCACTGAACAACAAATGTCTGCAGTATTCAAACACTTAAGAGTGATAGCACTAACAGAAATTAAGACTGGATGCACGTCCCAGCCATGACTTCAGTGACAAAAAACATGACTGGGAGTTCTTTTATAAAAAGCCATGGTCCTTGTTGCTCTGGCTGGCCACTACTGAGCCAGACTCTCCCATGGATTTATACTGATTTGGCTCCCTGTGCACTGGATTGTGATTAGTTTTAATGCAGCTGTATTTATTAAGTGGAAACACAATCTTCCCACCGACTAACCATCCCCTTGGGAGATCAGCAGAGCCAATACACCCCACCAACAACAAATGGGCAGAGAGGGGATGGGAAGGGGGGATATAATCCAGGCAAGGCTTCAAAATCTGGGGCCCAAACACTATCCCTCAGCCTCCCCCACACCTCCTTCACCCTGCCCTCCAAATTAGTCCACAAACCACCATCCTCTCTCACACAGAACGTCAGTCAACAGACTCCAAGCAGCCACCCCTACTGTCTCTGAGCACTAAACACTTTAAAAAATTCCTTCTCCTCCTAATCCAACCCTTTCAAAACAATCTCGTTCCACATCACCCTATCTAATCATTCCATCCAAAGCAATTCATGCTCTCCTCATGGTTCTGGTGGGTTGTAGCAGGGGGGCTCTTACAAAGCTTCCCTTTGGGCCGCTCGTCATTGTGAGGAGGGGTCCCAGGTCAGACCAGGCTGCAGGAGAAACAGCTCTGGCCCTTGGTGCTCTCCCATTCTTGTATCTATGTAAGAGCAGGGTGCTGCATGGCATATGCTGGCTCTTCTATAGGCCAGGCTACTACATGTATTAGAGATCAGTGTACATGTTTGTTTTGTTAACATGTTAACACATAAGGCTGTGAAATTCATTTCATGTAAAAAGAAAAGGAGTACTTGTGGCACCTTAGAGACTAACAAATTTATTTGAGCATAAGCTTTCGTGAGCTACAGCTCACTTCATCGGATGCAACACGAAAGCTTATGCTCAAATAAATTTGTTAGTCTCTAAGGTGCCACAAGTACTCCTTTTCTTTTTGCGAATACAGACTAACACGGCTGCTACTCTGAAACCTGTCATTTCATGTAGAGGCCAAAGGTGATGTGCTGCATGTGGAAAGTCAGCATTTAAACCATAAAGACAATCTAAAAATCACAGTCAAGTTTTTAATGCAATTAACTTGGAAGCTTGGTGAGAATGAGCTCACCAGTGTTCCTCTGGCATATGTAGCTTTTGTTCGTTTGGCAGTCTGCATCTTTCCATTTCCCTGCTTCCTCAATGGGGTCCTTTATCATAACAACACAATCATCCTGGGGGAAAATGATACATAAATGAGTAAGAATAAATAAACAGCAAACAAGAAACAATCCTCTTCCTTCTGGATCTGCAGACCCAGATATCTTGCGTAGTTTAATCACCTATGTATCTGTCTGTCACTATTTATATCCACTCTGGTCCACATTAACTAATCATCTGTTGAATTGCTTCACATTTCAGTAGAACTGATATTGCGTTGTTGTGATGGCATTTCCAAATCACGTCTTCTCCCATGGGGCAGCCCTTTAAAACCAACTTCTCTATTGTTCAGGGTGCTGTTGTGACCACTCACCCCCTTCTCCTCAGATCACTTATCTGCTATATGTTTTTATTCTTAAAAGGAGACATACTTAGTCAAGACAATAAAGTAAGAGCACAACAAATGGAACTACAGCCATTATTCCACATTAGCCATTTCATTTATTATTGAATCACACCCAGTTATGTTTTATTATTAAAATAAGTTGACATAATGCTGGGGAAAATTTCAAAGGAATGTTTAGTGGTTAGTGTGTGGGAGGGAAAGATGAAAACAAGAGGCACAGATTCCTCTTCGTTTGAGAATTTTATTCATACAATTGTATTTCATGATAATTTAAGCAAGAGTGCATATCTGCATCTGATATTTATATATACACACCATCCTCTTAATTTTATTATTCATTCTAAAAATCCTTTACAAGGCTCCAAAGTTACACAGTTATTGTCAGACCATCTTATAACCTTGTGAATTTCCTGACTAGTCGCAGTGAAGTCAATGGGTCTATTCACTTGAGTAAGGTTTGCAGAATATGCAAATTCCATCCAATTGTTTGGATTCATATTGTATCATAGAGAAAAGCTAAAACTGAAGTTTAAATAAAACCCCAGAGTGACATTTACTATCTACAAATACTTTATTTCTAGTAAAGTACCAACCAAATATACTTCTGGGCTTTTGCAAAGAAATATTTGAAAATGAAGCTCCGAAAACATGGTTCTACTGTAAGCTGACATAGCTATCCCTTTCTGCTAGTAAAAGAGCTCAAACTCTGCAGCATGACCATTCTGCTCTCAACAGCAAGAAGTTAACAGAAATAAGCCTACATAAGAAATAAACTGTGCAAGTTATATATGGTTTGATTGACCTTATCAAATGAATGATGGTTTAATGATCATTTGCAATCCACATTTACCTGACTGCGATAATGTGGGAAACCTTTGGCCCAGTTTGTATAGTAGACACCTCTTCCATCTGTCCACAGGAATGTGTACTCAGAATTTACATCATTCAGTCCAATCCAGGTATCAGTTGAGGCATCCTTGAAGTGGGTGATGAGGAAGGCTGAAGGAAAACAAACATTTTTACAAGTGAAGCATGGAGACACCAGAATATCCAGAGCTAGAATCATAATTATAAAATATAAACAAGATTGTTTTAATGGATTTATCACTTTAGACCAGCAACTTCACAGTTGAGATGGTTTCCATGGCAGTTAAAACAGAAATTGGGTGTGTCTAGCTATCATTTTCCCTAAGCCTGATTCTGCAACATTTAATCAATTTGAATAGTGCTTATGCATGTGCACAGTCTGATTTCAGGTGGGTTTGGATTTTAAAAAAACAATCATAGGACAAACTTCAAGTGTCAAATTTTAGCACTACAGCACTTGCAACACTAGTCTATCTGCTATTAATTCTTCCAAGGCTGGGACTTTATAAAAGGTGACTTAGGAAAGCCACTAATGCATGCACACAAATGTTATCATCAAAATTACATTTTTCTCATCTCTCTTAAGTGTCCATTAATTATTAGTTTTAAGCAAAAGTAGCAGGCTCTATTGTAAAAATTGAAGCTTTGCATCTTTAACTTGTATATTAGGGGGACAAGCTGATGTCTCATCTAATACCAAAAAGCCTATACATTGCACCTTGCACTTCTTCGCTTAGTATGGAAGCCAGGTTTCCTTCCAAATTTACACAAGCCGTTCGTGCAGCATGCCACGTCAATCTCTCTTTTTCACTGAAGCCGAATATTTTGAAACACTGAAAGAGAAAAGTATTAATTTGATGCCATTTCGCATCAAAAACATTTGAAATTAACAAGATCAATTTTGTGTGTTGTACAGGAGGTCAGACTAGATGGTCTAATGGACCCTTCTGGTCTTAAAAATCTATGAATCTACAGAAAGAAAATATACATAACTAACATAAAAGCTCCTTTCCTTTAGCATCCAGTGAGAAATTTAGTGGTTAGGAGAACAGAATATGGCTGTAAGATAACAACATAAGCATATAATAAAAGAGGAGGAAAAGCTTTTATCTTATCAATTAAAGGACTAAAGATAAAGAAATACTCTCTGGCCTGTTAAAAATGGTGAGGGAAATATACATATTAGAAGTGAAATAACAAAAGAATTTGCTCCTGGCTATAAATAACCTTCCTCAGCCAATGGGAAGATTCCAGTGCAAAGTGTGGGGAGAGGAGAGAGGTAAAAGCACTATGAAAGAAAAAATTTCCCATTCTTGCAGCTGCAGTACGGAAGAATCTAACCTGAACATTTTAAGTAAAAGTTTGTTTTTTCTTTTCACTTTTTGTATTTCTTCCATCATCCTTTTTCAACCAATGGTAAAAGTGTAACTATTTGTACCCCCGGTGCATTTTTCTGACAGGGAACGTGGATGATACATTTTGAATGAGTCATTGAATGGTAACCTGTCAAATATCCCTCTGCGCAGTCTCTGTTCGTTTGAGCATTTCAGACCATAACATACTGGGTAGTGTTAAGGAAAAGTTAGCACATGTGACTCCATTTTGGTTTGTGGCCCACCATTGTCTAAAAGCAAGCACATCATACACCAGGAGGACTAATTCTTAGATACTGCATCCCTGTGAAAATCCTCCTCCTTGTCTCCAGCCTGCCTTGACTCCCAGTATCTGTTTTTTGTCAGTCTCTAACTCCCTATCTCCTGGCCTTTGATGTGAGGCCTCCCATCCCTGATAATAAAAGTTACTGATGCATGGCTTTAGGACCATGCTGTGTAATTAATGTACTAGTTTAGCACGAGGAATGCACCAAGCAGGGATAGGCGGTAGATAAGAAAAGGGTTTGTTTATTGGCTAAGGTTTCCGATGCACGAGGGCAACATGCTTTGCTAAAAAGTATATAACCTTTGTATAATCTGTATTCAGGGTCCCCTCCTGGCTAGCAGGGGGGCACCACGCTCGAGCGTAATAAACTTAGTGTCTTTTGGGAACTCTGCAGTTGTGGACTTTGTTTATGTGCTTCAGCCTAGATTCGAACTGTGCATGACCTATCAGGTATAATTCGCAGCATTTGTGTGCGTGTCCTACCAGGTATAATTCACAGCGGTTGTGTGTGTGTCCTCTCAGTAACAGTAGTAAGAGTAAGTTCTTCCTACAGTGCTGAAACGTTTGTATTCAAAGAACTGTTAGTTGGTATAAATGCGACTTTGAGTTTGCTAGGATGATACAGCTGCACCACCACTAGAAGACAATGTTCTCACATGCTGCTGCTGCTAACACCTTGTAGGTGATCGTTCACCACAGTGAACTCTGTACACTTCCACTGTCTCCTGCATGATCTACTGGTACCAGCATCTTAGAGAACAAGGCAAGGGGGAGTGAATATAAAGTTGCACTGCATTTGTCTCACAGTGGAGATACAAAAAGTACTTGCATCAATATCTGCTTTTTGTGCATCAGTGAACAATTCCAAATCAATTGACACCCATTATATCTGCAATATTGAATACATCCTTTTGGGAAAGAGAGGGAGCTTTGTACAGATTTATGGATTTTTTTCCTTCTAATTCACTCTAGCTAAGAAGCAGCTTTACATTCTCTGTTCATGCTGACAGCTGGCACTTTTGCTCACTGAACATGTATCAAAGCAAGTATAAATTACAGACAAAACAGCGCACATTTGGTTAGCTATACAATCTTTTTAAAAGTAAGCATTTGCAAAGCGATTGCAGGATTGGGGCCTAACTCATTTAAAACCTATAGTACCTCACAAACTCATTTCTTAGATGATTTCAATATGGCTATAATGTCACCAGAATGGCCTGATCAGACAATCAGAATACAACTTCGGATAATCTAAACCCATACTACAATAATAAAAGACAAAAATTTAATTTTTCGTTCAGTTCCTTTTGCAAATAAAATATATGGAAGATGTTTGCTACTGTACCTTGTTATTAAACAAAAGCCAGTTTTGAGGGCATCCCCCTAGAGGTGCAGGTGATGTGGGAGCAACGGTTGAATGAGTAGTACTATTGAGCCTTTCACAGATGAAGCGTTTTGGAGCGCCACAGTTCAGATCATTCCACATACCTGGAACATATTAAATATGGAAAGTAAATTACTGGACGAGATGAAGACTGGAATGCAAATCTACCCCTTCTTATGCTAATTACAGTATAGAAAGTACAGTTTGTTGGCTTTTTCCCCCTGCGACATTTAGGGTCCAGACACCTTAGGGGGAGAACAGGGGATATGAATCTCAAAGCATAAACAGTTGAATCAGCTGGTTGTATACAATGTTATTGTGCTATAAAAATACATCAAGGAAGGTCTTTTATGAAAGCTTGTAATATTCTGAACTTGATTGTCACTATAAGATATGTATACAAGCTATGGTTATGAATGTATGCATATTGGGAGAGAGAGAGAGAAAATTGTAATTGTAACTTTGGTGCATTCACCTCCATTCACCTCCACCTCACCACAGGGCAGTGAAACAATCAGACAGGGAGGGGCAGATGAGAGTATTCCAAGTACCTAATACTGTACAACCCAGGAAAAGGCAAATGGTGGGCCATTAAAGTTAACGGGAAAACACTGAAATGGCTTGAAACTGAAAAGAAAACACCAGTCTTGGAAAACTAAGAAAGGAAGGAATTTCTCCCACTCTGAATCACCATAATCTGAGAGAAAATTAAAAAAAAATGCTAACTATATAAGAAGGGAAGGGATTTGAAGGGAAAGGCATCCAGAAACTGAGGAGCAACCTTTAAGTGAGAAGCTGTATGTGAAATGCTGGATCCACTTTTTGACAGGGAGCATGCTGGGAAACTTTTCAAAGGCAAAAGGTAACTTGTACTAGAAAAGGGAATTTATCTGATTAGAAAGTGTAGTGCCTGCGGTTGCATCTTTATGTGTATTTTCTGTGTAACTGTATGTGTTTGCTTCCTCTTACTCATTCATCTTTGAAACTGTGATTTTTCTATTAAATACATGTTTGTTTAGGTTTCTCCCAAGTAAGTCTCTGTTGTACAAAATGTCTGGAGTGCGTGTATGAAAGTGAACTGATAACGGGGGGAGGGCTGTTTTTCACACCTTCAGGGGTGATGAACCAAAAGGGAAAAGTCCAAGTGTCTGGTAGTTAAAAACTCAGGAAGGACAGATTTGGGAAGACTCAGGACCAGTAGGGCTGTTGGTGACACCCTGCAAGGAGTGACAAGGCCAGTGGAAGCCAGGGTGAGACCTTTACACTTGAGGGCTGGCTACTGGTTTCAGGGCCCTGAGCCATAGTTGCATGGTATTAAGGCCCCTAATTTACAAGGCAGGGTGGTGAGAGAGCCACTTACTGATCTGGGTAGTCCCCAATGTCACAGCTCCCAGAAAAATTTTGTTGAAAAAGAATGATTGTTTTCATAATTTCCATGGAAAATTTCAAGTGTTTGTCAAAAAACCCTAAATGCATAATATTTCATCTGAACACCTACCCATTCTCCTTTATAGGCCAGGCTTCCTGGTCAGACTACATCTCTTGATGAGAAGGGAAAGTGCATCATGACAATTGCATGGCCCAGGTGGATCAGTAGAGATGAAGTCTGGTTGGGGGCACCGCCCATACAGGAGAATAAGGACATGAAGCTCCCAAACTACAACTCTCAGGTGGCATCTCAGTAACATTCAGAATAAATGAATGTTTATTTTGATTTTCAGACAACCCCCTGCCCACCCCTTTTTTTTTTTTGAGTGTTCACTTTTTGATGAAAAATCCAAATTTTCTATGAAAAGAGACCCTTTTTGCAAAAAATGTTGTGTAATTGAAACCCCAATTTTCCACTGAAAAACAATTTTCAAGGAAAATTTTTGACTAGCCCTAACAGAAAGATGTTAAAGGGTCTCCATGTATGACATACAACTGGATTAAAGGCAATCTTCATAAACAGGAGTTACTTCATACACAATCCTCCTGTTTCCCAGAATAAAGAGAAGTTACCTCTTGTAACTGCTTTTCTCCTGAAGTGTTTGCCTCCACAGAGCCACACCACTATTGTCCTATGCTTGGGATAGTGATCTCAGAACCTTTTTGAAGCAGTATCAATTAGTGCTTACCCCACAAGCCCGCTTTCATTCTATAGCCAAACATATGCAGTGGCTGTACTCCGGTACTGCTGTAGGGGAACACCTATTTATCAGGGAGTTGCTTTGTACAGCTAGCCAGTACTCAAGAACAGTGCAGATCAAAAAGGAATGGAGAAAAAAAAAGGAGGGAAGTGGGGTAAGGGAGAAAACAATGCTAATCAATGTCAGAAAAGCTTATAAAGTTTGATATGCGGGTTAAAGATGCCTCTTGAGGTGATTTAATATATGAAACCATCACTAGCTGCAAAGGCACATAAATCATTTTCTACTATAGAACTACAATAGGTTAACTACTTTTGCAATTTGTTTTACTATGTTATCTCTATCACTATCAACCTAAGATTCTTATATGATCCCCCCCCCCCGCCATAATATCTGAGCACCTCACAACTTTTAATGTCTTTATCCTAGCAATACAGGGAAGTAGTAGTATTATTCTCTCTCTATTTTACACATGAGGCACTGAGGTGCAGAGAGACGAAGTGACTTGGATATATTAGGTATCAGTTCTCCTCCCCCATCTTCTGTATTATAAAATATTTATAAATTGTTATTAAATTATTTATGTTATAGTAGTGTGTACAGGTCCCAACCAAGATCGGGGCCCTATTTTGTGAGGGACCACACAAACACATGGTAAGAGACTGTTCCTGTCCTTGAAAACTTATGCTCTTAATAGATAAGACAAAGTTTAGGAGAAATAAAATGTGATTGTCTCTGTTTTCTGATAGAAACTGGGGCAGAGAGTTTAACTGATTTGCCCATGGTCACACAGAAAGTTTCTGGTAAAGCCAGGAATTGAACCACATCTCTTGAGTCCCAGTCCAGTGCCATGCCCACAAAAGGTGACATTTTTAAAAAAGTGCCTCAACTGTCTTAGCGTGATCTGTGCTCCACAGTCATTTAGATACTGCTGAAAATCTCACTCAGTATCAACCCACTTAATATAATAGATGACTTTACATGAAACATGTGTATCACACCCACTCCTATGTTACCCAGTGCAGAGCTGTTATGACACTGAAATATTACTATACTCACCTGTACGGGTATACATGACCACACAGTTTTCATCATTATTTGCAAAGTTTGGTTCATTTGGAGCCCACGCTACATAGTTTATTGGGGTTCCATCCGTCCAGCTAAAAGAAACAACGTAGCAGTAGTTACTGGATAGATCCATTTTTATTTTTTAAGGCCACATTAATCATTTGATTTTACATTACAGAAATTCTAGCTAAACAACAAAAAAGCAGCTTGGTGAACATGGGTTTTTTTAGTAGGAAGAGAGCCTGAGACATAAGCCCTTGTGCCAGATGCCTGGTAGGAGGCCAGAAGCCTGGGCTAAAGTAGTGGTCAAAGCTTTGCTGATATAAAGCAAAGTCAGGTTGTGAGCAAGAGACAGGTCTGCTCACAGAATCTAGCAAGAACAGGGCAGATATTGCAGAAACACACACATTCCTAAGAAGTGCTAGGCACAGAACACTCACACAAACACATTCCAGAAGGGTGGTACACCCCATACCAAGTATGGTACCAACACTCCCCCCCCAAAGATAACAAGAACATACTGTCCCCTCCTAAAGATAAGGTTAGGATGACAGTGTGATGAATTGGTATTTTCCACTGAATGCATCCGATGAAGTGAGCTGTAGCTCACGAAAGCTTATGCTCAAATAAATTGGTTAGTCTCTAAGGTGCCACAAGTACTCCTTTTCTTTTTGCGAATACAGACTAACACGGCTGCTACTCTGAACTGTGATGAATAGAGATGTTTTGATTCAACCAACATGTACAAGGTAATGGGTGGTAACAACCCACGTCAGGCGGCAGTAACTAACTATATCAGAGGGGCAATATGTAACTTGTTTGTAGTGGGGTATAAAATGAAGTCTCAGAGGGAGTGTCTTTGACTGGCCTGGGAATAATGGAAAGTCCCACCATTAACTGAACTAGTCCATTGCAACGGGCACATATGTGTTACTGTACCTGTAACCATTGAACCAGGGCATTAGGACTGTGCTTCGTTGACAATAAACCGACCAAGTGCCTTCACTACAAACTGAGTCTGTGGTTATCGGGCCGTTCGATCGAGGTTTGCTGTGCCAACTATCTGCGGAGAGCTGGGAAGCACACAGAGAACACACACACACACACACACCTAAGAACAGCTTTATGTGTGACTTTCATTCGTATTAATGGAAATCATATGGCCAAAGTCCTGGAGCTCAAGTAGAGAATATTCTTTTGTTTTTTTAACTTATATTAGCCCTGTGTTCATAATAACTAAATTCATTTAAATTATAACAGCTCAGTGTTAAACGAATGTCATATGTACCTTATTTAGATAGATATACTAATACATTTCATGTCGATGCATTCTATTTCCCCACCTGCATATTTTCTAGGAGTTCATGGATCACAACACATCACTAAAACAGCTAGCTGAGATAATTACTTGTATGTGTCCAGAGAACAACAATTACAGGCATCTCTGTAGGTTGTTGGGTCAGAGTCCCTACATGTGGATTTAGTGGAAGTTTCCTCAACTCAAAGGCCTAATCCACTGGCCCCAAGCAGGTCTGGAATGATAGTCTCCAGTAGGGGGCATCTCAGACACCCTCACTGTATGCATGCTGCTCTCAGCAATGCAACAATCACTTCTTATCTTAGTGGTTGGTGAAATACTCTCAAAATAAAAGGCAATTAAAAATGAAAAAAAAATCTCAGCTCTCTGGGGAGGAGATGGGCAAGTAATCTGCCAAGGCTGCATATCAGCAGAAAGCAGCAGCTACAGGTGAGCAATTTGTATCTTTTCTTCAAAGATACCCAGCTCAGAACATTCCCAGTTTTGGAGCCAACACAACTCCATGAATGTCTCTACAAGTAAAATTCTAACAGGAAATGCAACACACAATGCTTAACTGTAAACATATTGTTTCTTGTCAGAGACACTTCCAGAGCCATAGAGGAAGAAACAGTATGCAAGAAACTGAGAGAAATGTTACAAGTGACAAGTAGCAGTACATAACCAGTCAAGGAGGAGGGTGAAACACAGGATGGCAGAAGAATAGACTGCAGCAAACAGAATTTCCAGTAAGTAATTTGCGCAGACAGTGGGTGTACGAAGCAGTAGCTCCAAAAGGCAGGACTGCAGCTGGAGCTAATGTCCATGAGTGGACTTCCATTAATGCTAAAGAAAGTCATACAAATAAAGCCATCTGCACAAATAAGCCACCCTGAGTAGTGGAGCGAGTGGCTAAAGATGAGGCTCTGAGTGACTGTGACTCATAACCAAATGTCCCAGTAGATGGCACCATAACACTTTGTCTCTCGGTCCATGGCCATAGATGGAAAAAGAAAGATGTATAAAAACACAGACCTTGGGAGTAGAGAAGGACTTCCTGGATCCCCATTGACATGGGAAAATATAATTAACCAACACTTTTGGAAGAAATTCAGGGGCTGTCCATACAATCACTGAAGAATTTTGTAGGAAAAAAAATAAGTCAACAAAGCCTGTAGCTTATTCACTCTAGGTCAGGGGTAGGCAACCTATTGCATGCGTGCCAAAGGCAACACGGGAGCTGATTTTCAGTAGCACTCACACTGCCCAGGTCCTGGCCACCAGTCCGGGGGGCTCTGCATTTTAATTTAATTTTAAATGAAGCTTCTTAAACATTTTAAAAACCTTATTACTTTACATACAACAATAGCTTAGTTATATATTATAGACTTATAGAAAGAGACCTTCTAAAAATGTTAAAATGTATTACTGGCATGCGAAACCTTAAATTAGAGTGAATAAATGAAGACTCGGCACACCACTTCTGAAAGGTTGCTGACCTCTGCTCTAGATGTTGAAACCATTGCCACCAGAAAATAACCTTCTAGGTAAGGAATGTGAGCTCACAGATATTAAGTTTTGTCTCTGATGGCTCATAGTGAACTCTGGAGCCAAAGCTGGGATGCTAATATACAGGGAAACAATGTCAGCATGGAGAAAAGACATTCTGCACAACATGGGCGTCGCATGGCTCTGGCATTTGGGGAGGCTGGCCCAGGTGCCGGAAGCTCCCCTGGTACCTGCATCATGGCTTCACCTCCTCCCCCGAGGCCTCACCCACACTCCACCCCCAGCTCTGCTCATACTCGGCCCCCTCACCTGCAGCTCGCTGAGTCATTCCACCCACTCAAGACCCACCCCACCTGCCAAGTCCCTCTCCTCCTCCATCTCCCCTCTCACAAAGGTGCCCCCGCCTGCCGCTCACTGAGTCCTTGCCCTTCCCCCAAAGACCCCCCGCCCACCACTCACTGAATCGCTCTATTGCCCTCCCCCAAGACCTCCACTGCCCACTGCTCGCTGCATCCCTCCACTCCATGCAGGAGGGGAGAGATTCAGTGAGTGGCCAGCACCTCAAGGAAGGGGGATGGAAGAGAGGAGGGACTCGGCAAGTGGCGGGTGCCTCGTGGGAGAGGCGCAGCAGGGATAGGAAGAGGTGGAGGGCAGGCAGGGCCACAGGAAAGAAGTAGGAGGAGGCCTTGGGGCAGAGTGCAGGCGGGGCCACTATGGCCCAGGCATCCACACTTTCAAAGCTGATGAGTTGGTGGCTGCACTGCAAGGGAGGCTTAGCCTCCCCTGGCCTATTATACCTGCCATCTATGCTGCACAGGTTTTGAATAAAAGGAGATGAAGCCTCAGCACTGTTGACTATGCCAGAAGCACAAGACATGAGAATTAGTGTCCAGGTGAAAATCTGAAACTAGAAAAAAGATTTTCAACACAGTAAGGAGACAACATCAAAGCCTAAAGAGCATGAAGGGTCAGAGAAGCCACATAATGAAGCGTCGCGGAGGTGAGGTTAGGAGTGCCAGTTGGAATCACAACAGAGACCCATAATCAACCACAGCCAGAAAAGATCTGACCCTTTGAGAAGTAAGAGGGAGTGATGCAAGAGGCTCACTGCTGAGAATCAACTGATTAGAATTTGGAGCTGAGTTCTGCACAGGGGTACAGATCCAAGAGTGGGGATTAGCTGAGATGGGTATCTTTGCAGAAACAATTTTGCAGATCTTTTCAGATTTGCTGAACTTTTAAATATTCTTGTCTATCCCCTAACTAACTTCTATAAAATACATGTTTTTATTTATTTTCTAAATAAAAAAATTATATTCTGGAAATGTTGTGTCAAGATTGAGCCTCAAACAAGTTTTACCCCCACCCCCCTTTGAAATTGAAACTGTAATAACCCCTTTAAGGACAGCTTTGCTAAATACAATACTTGTACCATGTTCTACAAGCCTGATGTTCATTGTTTACTTACCTAAACTTTTTATCAAGGCTCACAGTTAAACCAATATAAAGGCAATCCCCAAAGTCATAATAGAAGCTCTAAAACAAAAATAAAATTTTAATTAAATGTAATGACATAATGTAATTCTGGTTTCGTGCCTATTGTACAGCATGCATAGTCAGCAATGATTTGTTAACTTGCTGATGGTGGAGGCATTTTGCCATAGTATGGATTATATCTGAAGAATACAAGTCCTTCACCTGATTGCCAATATTAAAGTAAAAAAGAAAAGTAGAGCAGGATGAAAATGAAGCAGAGGAAAAGCTGGTAGGATATAAGAAAACCTGCCAGGCTGGCAAATTTTAAAATGAAGCAAAAGTACATTTTGAAAGAGTTTAGGAGAGTTCTCTGAAGATTTTCAACAAAATTGCAAAGAACATTGTTGACAAACATACCAAATACTTTGTTTTGCTGCAAAAAATAATTTCCCAACCAACTCTAAGTCTCAGTTGTCTGGGTTAAAATCCTTTAAAATGGTAAATCCATGGCTCACCTTCTCCTCCTCTACCTCACCACAATTTATGTTGCAAAATAGCAGAGAAAAAGCCTCTTTCAGAACAAGACCGTGACTCCATGATTTTATATGGAATGAGGTTTCAGCAGATCCCTTGCATCCCATTGTTGTACCACTTCAAAATTTTTACATGTGCTGATAGCTCAGTAACTCAAGGTCAGATTTTGCATCCCTAATTCCGTCAAAATGTTATTGAGTTTAACAAAGGGAACAGCTCTAGAAGCTAACAACAGTTAGTTTGCATTGTATTTCACTTCTTGTAAAAAGAAAAGGAGGACTTGTGGCACCTTAGAGACAAACAAATTTATTTGAGCATAAGCTTTCGTGAGTGGACTGCATCCGATGAAGTGAGCTGTAGCTCACGAAAGCTCATGCTCAAATAAATTTGTTAGTCTCTAAGGTACCAGGAGCTCACGAAAGCTTATGCTCAAGTAAATTTGTTAGTCTCTAAGGTGCCACAAGTCCTCCTTTGCTTTTTGTGGATACAGACTAACGCGGCTGCTACTCTGAAACTTCTTGTAAAGAAGCTGAGGACTTATCCACACTTGGAAATATACCAAGATAAATGTTCCAGAGTACTTATTTCAGTACATTTCCAGGTGCAAACAAGCCCTGACCCTTGCTGGATGTTACCTTCAGAGCCTGACAAGGTGGTGCAGATATATGGCATGACAGTGCACACTTTACAATGTTTCAGAAGCAGATTGTGAGAAGTGTCTGGGTGTGCTGCACTGCATTACCCATTTCTGAAATAGTAAATATGTTTCTTACATATCTCCACAGAAACTTTCTTTCACTTTCACCCTCGATGACAACAAGATCTCCAGAATTCTTCTTGCAGTACTCTTGGGCTTTTTCCATAGGCAAAGTTTCATGGCTGAAATAGTATGCCTTGTCCTCATATATAATCCATCCATCTTCACTGACTTTATATGTATATTCTGCAAGATAAATAATGAAGACACATGTACAGTATCTCTACAACAGGTTAGAATCATTACATGGTAACATTTTTCTGGTAACAGGAAATACAAAACCTACCAAATGTGGTACTTGGTTCAGGTTTTAATGTTGCTCCTGTAAAATAAAATAAAATCAAATCTGAATGTGTTTTATATCTCATGCATGTTCTGTCCATGACATTTATTATTACAGTAATTATCATTTTAATGTGGAATAAGAAAATAAACCCCAGCATTATTTAATACATTTTCCATGTATTGACATACAATTCATAAGAACATATGATAATGTTTAATGTTCAACAAAATATCATTTTAGGCCCAATCAATGGTTAAGCTTAAAGAACATATTCATGTCCTCAAAGTAGGATTTCAGATATTGATAATACAAAGTATAGACCATAAGCTACTTTAAAATGTGTCTCCTAAAACATGTTTCAGGTGATGAAATCCATGACTCCTATTTAGAGTGAAGCGGTGTCTTCCATTTAGAATGAAATGAATAAAGTGTTTTGATGTCCTCAAGCACACACTAGGTTTCAATATCTTTTCACTGAAATACTTTCCATCAAATCTGGAAGTTGCAACAGCTAACAGATGTTAGCATTCAGAATCCTCCCAGCCCCTTCAGAGAGCCAAGAGTTTTTCATTAAATTGGCACTATCAGCTGGGTGACCCTGCTATGTTGTGGTCTCTTCATCAGGCCAAGAAGAGCGAGTGAAGTCATAGTCATAATGGAAGGGAGCCTTTTGATCATCTGTATGTCTAAATTTAATTCAGAGGTTTGAATTACCACCTCCCACTTTGTACCCACTGTGTTACATTGCTCTGTTTGCATGTAGCCTTATGAACAGTCCATGAAACTGACTCAACTGTTTGTGTTTAATATTCTAAATTAAAGAAGGAAGTCATCCTACCTTTTTTTATTTGGCAAATCCAGTCACCCAAAGTTTCACAGAACATATCGTTCCACTGCATGGCAGTGTATCCACTGAACATTCCACATTTTTCATTTCCGTCATAATTATTGGGTTCTCCGTCTGCCCAGTTTTCATAGTTTACCTTTGGTAGAAACACAACTCTGTGACTATTTTCCTTTCAAAGAAGAACAATGGTTGTGCTCTGCAAGGGCAGAGGGACCCAGTTTCATTTCAGCCCTTAAATCTCACACCCATGGGGACAGTCAAGGCTGGGACTATTAGGGAAACAGCATACTCTGTCCTTGCCAGGTGAAGGAGGAACACCCTGTGACTCTTCCAGCTCTGCCTAGCCCCTATCAACAAAGATACCAGCCATGACATGGGCTATAAAGATGGAGCAACGTGGGGCAATGGCCTAGTTTTGCTACTGTTGGGATGGGAGAGAGGGTTGTGGATGATTCAACCCAAGATTAACATTGGGTGGTATAGTTCCAGTTTAGGTTTTGCTGATTCCAGTCTATTAAATAGGCGAAAGGTAACAAAAGCTTAGTTGGACCTGTGATATACAATGATTTATAACAGTAAGTAAAAGATTAAGACAAAGAGACTTGTACAAACTGTTTTGTTTAAACAAACAGAACCAATTAGGGAGTCTCCAGTCTTTCGACAATGTTACAAAAATTGTTTTAGTAACAAATTCAGATGTTGCTAGGATGAAATAAAGCATCCATGAGTGGAGCCAATGTGTTTTGATTGGTTAATTTTGATGGAATGAGGTTGCCATGACTTTTGGGCATTGCCTTTTTACCATCTTTGTTGGCACCTTTCCTCTTATATGCAGGGATCACCATAGCTAGACAGTCATCTCCAGACTAGACTACTCAAATGTACTCTCTTTAGGGCTACCATGAAAGGTACTCAGAACATAAGATTGGCCATACTGGGTCAGATCAATGGTCCATAGAGCCCAGTGTCCTGTCTTCTGACAATGGCCAGTATCAGACACTTCAGAGGGAATGAACAGAGCAAGGCAGTTATTGAGTGATTCATCCCCTGTTGTTCAGTCTCAATTTCTAGCAGTTGGAGGAGGTTTAGGGATACCAGATCATGGGTTTGCATCCCTGACCATCTTGGCTAATAGCCATTAACGAACCTATCCTCCAAAGCACTTTGAGCTCAGCATCCCCTTTCTGGGTTTGATACTACTCAGTACATGGAAAACTAGGCTGTTCACAGAAGTCCTTCCAGGAGCCATTAGCAATCCAGACAAGCAACTTAAAAACTGAGGCAATCCTGGGATGTCTCAGAAAGTATCCAGCCAAGCCCAGCTCTGAAAACAGTTCAGCCACAGTTCCCAGCATACACTGGGGACTTTGGTGCAGTGATTTTCGGCCTTTTGCCTGTAACAGTCTCTCTTTGCTGGAGCTGTGCCATTTCTGTTCCATTGTCACCACAAGAGCCAGGGTGCAAACATCATGGCCACATTCCATCTGTTTGTACAGCCTCTAGCACTTCCTCAGTATAAACATTCAACAATATTAATAGTAAGGGTTGGAAGAGTGACAGGAAAGTTAATGCATAGAATGGAGTGGGGAGGAAGCTGAGGCCTGCACCCTGGGGGAGCAGTGCCACACCCCAGGAGGACCTTTCAGCAAAGCAGGGAGAATGAGAGAAGCTAGAGGTGAGAAAACCTTGTTATTCCGGCATTCTATCACATCCTCCCCTGGGCCTAGTGCAGGATTGTTCCCTATTGAGTATTTTCAAGTGCTTTGTCATCTGGCTGAAAGCATCCCAAGCAATAGGGCTCCTGCCCCTTCCCAAATGTGACCTCTTCAGTGAGGCAAAATCTTGTACTTTGTACTAGACACTCCTTGGCCACATCTGCAAACTAAGACACTGAATATTCTCTATAAGGCCCCAAATATTAGACATCAACTATTGCAAAGAATCCAAGTTCTGCATCTGCTCCAGCTGGTAGGGTTGGAAATCTCTTCATGGCCCTGGCAAAGTTTTAGATTTTCCAAAGCAGTAAGAAATCTTTCAGTGCTTATGCAAAGAAAATAATGCTTGAAGTAAGCTGTTTAAAGCTACTAAATTATGCAGCTACAATTGTGATGATCACTGATCAACTGCCACTGTAAAAAATCCTGCAATAGTGAGTAACAGATATATTGCCTCATGTAAATGCTGTTATGGGATCAAACAGGGTAGCTTAAGGTGGAAGGAGGGCAGAAGCAGAAATAGGTTGAGTAAAGACTGCAGAAAAACAATAGGATAAATTCAGAAAGCCAACTCTGGTACAAAACAATGAATTACTCACTGGAGAGCCATCACTCCAAGTAAACCCTCCGTCAGGATCAAAGGCACTCAGACCCATCCAATATGATTTATGGACATGAGCTCTTTTCCTAAAATATTATATATAAATATAGATAGAGAGGATGGTATATAAATCAAAGCATGCATATCATTATACACAAAACATTTTAGGACTTGCAGCATGTCTATAAGTTTGAATGTTTCCTATTCAATATCTCTAATATGCACTAAAGACATAAGAAATATTTTGCTTCCCTAACACGATAATTTAAATTACTTACTTAATTTCCAGCATCCCGAGCAAAATATACTGGGACTGCACATGGCAGTAGGTCGAGTCATACAATGCTTTGCAGGAAAGGCCCCAACTGCTGAGTTACCACCTACAATGATGCAGTGGTAAATGCAAATTAATGCCATAGTCCTGCAAAGAACGTAAGCATGTGAGTATGGGACTACTCACGTTCACGTGCTTAAAGTTAAGCATGTGCTTTAATGCTATGCCAGATCAGAGCCTTAAATTACATGCACTCATACAAGGCTTGGCATGGTCTATGCCTAAATATTTTTCTTAGTCTCTCTATTGGTTTTTTGCCTTTATTAACTAAGAAAAGATCCTTGTGGAATATGAACTACTCTTTTATTTAAAAATGGTTCCTCCACTTATTTAATTATAGACAGGCCCAAAATATAAACTTTAACTCATTGAACTAGATCTGATTGAAATTTTTCTAATGAAAAATATTTTGTGTGGATAAATGGCCCTGTTTCAAAATAAAAATGTGTAAAAAAAATTTTTTTTCCAAAACTTTTCATTTATTCAACAAAATCAGAAAAAACAAACCAAGAAAAATATCCAATTCATTCTACCTTCCTTCAGATCTCTGTATTTCCTTCCCCCTTCCCTTTTTCCAGTGGCAAAAAAATTAAAAAGTTGGGAAGAGGAGAAAAAATTAATGGAAAGAAAAAAGAGAAGCGGGGAGGAGAGGGCAGGAAAACCAAAGCCAAAAAAACTGAGAAAATGAATTTTTTTCCAAAATGAACATTTTGAAACCATTTTTTTTATAATTTTCATGAAAAAAATTGAATAAATGAAAAATTGTTCCAAACCTGTGGAATGTAAAGGGATTTGAAATGTTTACTCTCATTCTTTTTCTTGTTGTTGTTCATTTTGGATCATCTCTACACTGCATCTATTTCCTCCAGATCACTGTCACATTCCTCCATGTCTTTCAGACATTTCATCCTGGATGACTCATCATCTGCATAAGCTCAACATGGGTAAAAATGGAGAGTTCCAAATTTTCAGCAGTACCCAAGAATGCCACTCTAGTTGATTATGCCATCCTCCTCCATGTAAGCAGGGCCACAATCTGAATGTCATCTTTGACACCTTCCTTTTTTCCTCCCCCAACATCCAAGCCACAACAAAGCCTATTGCTTCCCGCAGAATTTCATTTAAAAATCCCTTCCTATCTATCATAATGGTGAACTCTAGATCCAGGTCCTAATTACAGCTCACTATTGCAACCTTTTCCTTGCCAGTTGTTTTGATACCCACTTTGTTCCTCTCCACTCACAATGCTCTGCCAAAATCATCTCTTCCACTGCTACCTCTTTGAGGCCATCAACTCCTAGCTCCCCACAGATCTGTACAGCAAGTCTAACCAATTTTCCTCACTTTCAAGAGCCTACATCACTTAGCCCCAGAGAGTACATCTGAGTCTGCCTTTTTGGCACTTCCCTATACCTTCTGCCCTGACACATGGAAACACCTCTCAATGCCTGTTTGCATAGCCACCCCCTCTCCTCTTTCAAATCCCTTCAAAAACCTTATGTCTGCAATCTCACATACATAGAAAATTAGTATGAAAATCTGAGAATAAAAATGAGAAAAAAGTCAGAACCACAAAGATGTACAGATGGCTAAACTGAGTAACTGCATGATTTTACTAAAACGCTTTCACCCTTTACTTATCACCCTCACTCACAGTATCATATCTAAAGTCTAGACTGTAAGATCTCCAAAGGCAGGGGCCCTGTCTTTTGCTGTCACCTCCCTACCATATTCTTGAGTATGGTTAATAAATAATAAACAATAATAATAAAAATGTATGTCTGTTGTTCGGATATATTGCTGTACTATCTTCAGTTAACTCTGGACCAACTTTTAGAAACTCCCAAATGACACTCAGAAATCCGCACAGATCAGAAAGCTGATGCCCAATTTTGTTTAATATGAAGTTCAAATGCTGCCAAAGCCCACCCCCACTCTTTTTAATGCAACACAAATGTTTATATTTGAATAAGAACCATGATAGAGACATATAGATTTTCAGCTGAAATGACCTCTTTCGGAAAGGATATTTTGTGTTATTTTCATGGAATAAATTTCAAGTGAAGGAATAAGGGCAATGCAGATACTCACAAGCCATTTATTATATTTTGCTCTTCTTCACTATGGATAGTGGCCAGATCTCCTCCTATAGCTCTACAAAAATCTCGAGCCTCAATCCATGTTTTCATATGTTTTCGTCCATTCTGAAAATGCTACAGAGAATTGTACAATTAAATACTGTGCTGGGCATCATAGAAATTAAGAAAAAACATCTGTTGTGGTCCATCTTAGTCTCCCTGTCTAACACTGCCTACATTCATCCATTGCCTTGTGACTGCTGCCAAAGCGTTGGTCTATGCCTGGTCATCTCTTGAAATTGGTTACTGCAACCTCATCCAGTCTTTCTTCTCTGAGTCTCTGAGAATCCCTACTGTAGTTTCAATTGACTATGGTGCTCTTCCTCACTTTCTGTCCTAAACCACTGGGAAATGCTTGGTATCCTTGAGGATAAAAGGAGCTATGTAAATGCAAGTTGCTGTTGGGTCAATTGAAGCCAAGTGTTTCTTCAAATTTATCTGCTTTATGCAGTTATAAGAAAGCATGAGTACTTTGTGTTCAGGAGTTTAACACCTACTTTGAAGCATGAGCTACTGTGGGCACTTGCATGCCATCCATCTGGGCATGAGGGGGCAGGAGTTGTTGTTGGAACAGGAGGAGGGGTCACTCCCTCAACCAATTGTTTGCAGAGAAACATTGATTTCTCTTCACAGTTCACAACATCCCATAATCCAGCTGTAGTTCCAGTTCTCATGGCAACACAGCCTGGCTCCCTTCCTTCATGACAAACAAAAGAAAACAAAACTAATTAAAAGAGTCTTATTTGAATTAACTTAATGATCTCTTCCCAAAGTATGTACTTATTATTCTATTTTTTTTTAAATGTATCAAATGGCGGCTATAAATTTTGCTGCAGAGTCAAAATCACTCAATGTTACGTGTTCCATATGCATACGCCCACCAGCAACTATGGTGTGATTTAAATAAATACGAAAATTAATAAATAGTCGTGACTTTGATCATGAGACTTAATGAAGAAGTTATATAGAATTTCATTAACAAATATAGAAGCTGGATTGAGCCAACTTCAAATCCCCAAGTAACAAATGAGTTAAGGAAAACTAATGTCCATCAAAAGCAGCATTTCCATATAGTGTATTAGGAAGGTATTTCTAGCATATCCAGTCTGATGTATTTATTTTTAGTACAAATGAAATCATTTCAATAATGTAGTCTGCAAATTTTTTAGTTTTATGCTGGCAGACCTTCAGAAATGTTCTCTAATTTTGAGACCCTCACTTTTTAGATATCTAGAAAGACACCATGTGACACCTTGTGCCCGATTTCCAGAGGTGCTGTCCCCACACTGACAGCTGGGCAAAGTTTTTCAGAAGAAATAGTTTATTTGCTGAAAAAAGTATTTTCGGTCGACCTGAAACAATTCACAAATGTAACATGAATTCACTGAATAGTTCTAGCCAAAACCCCCTTTTTTTTTTAAGCTAAATTCACACAGAGATTTAGGCATATTCACAAAATAGCCAGTAGAGAAGGTGGTGGTGGTGCTCCACTTATAACTTTTAGCCCCATGGTGAGTGCACTTATCTGGGATGTGGGAGCCCCAGATTCAAATCCCTTTTCTGGAGCAGGGATTTGAATCCCAGTCCCCACTGAGTGCCCTAACCATCAGTTCATGCACTATTCTGGGATGGGTTTCTCTCCGTCTCTCCCACTGAAGTAGTTATAATTTGTATAAATAATTAAATAGTCAGCTGAGTTGCTTCTTAGACCATGGATCAGTGTTCAGTTGCCATGTTGATGGCACTGGTCATGCCAAAGCACTTAACAAGGAGGACATCCAAACCATGGAACATCTAATGAATTGCTTCTCCATGATCCATCTATGGAGGGATAGCCTTGATTCATTCCATGGCACCGGAATGACAAACTTGAGTAACAAACGTGGACATTGACCTTTAATGTTACTTTTCAAGTTGCCATATGAAAGTAGAAGATTCAATAGTAATTGAAGTAGGGACTTAAACTTGAGTCTCTACCCTCCCAGGGGAGTGCTCTAACAACCACGCTGTAAAGTCATTCTCACTCTTTACCTCTGACCCAGGAACAGATTCAACCGGAGAGACTGTGAAAGCCCCTTCCAAGAACAGCCTACAGCTTGGTGGTTAGAGCACTCACCTAGAATGGAGAAGACCTGGATTTAAATCCCTGCTCCAGAGTGGGGATTTGAACTTGATTTCCCACATCCCAGGTGACTGCCCTAACCAGTGGCTTTTGGGTGGGGAGAGGTCACACCAGCTCCTCCTCTAGCTCTTTTGTGAACCTAGCCCTTTAAAAATGCCCAGAAACAAAATGTTTTGGGTTAAATGAAACATGTACTTTGTCGATTTTCCAAAAATTCAGATTCAGTTCTACCCAAACTGATCTTTTTTTGGAACTGCCAGAGAACCGACAAAACATGCAGCCCGTGCTACCCACCACACAGCATGGCAGTGCATACCAGGCATTCCTGAATTCCAGTGAGTAAACAGAACTGCTTCACCATCAGTCCACTTGAAAGTCCCTTGTTCCCCAACATCTGAAAGAGCGATCCAGAAATATTTCATGGGATTGAACCCAATCAGGACAGTCAGAAAGGCTTGTTCATATCTGGGAAGGAGAATAATAAGTGTCAAATCAATTTTAAACCAAGATTTTATCATACTTTTTTTTTCATGAAATCAGTCATAATGCAAATGTTGGGAATATTATAATGGCATATTAATTTATATCCTAAACAAATGCTGATACTTTCATAATCTACAATAATTCCTTTCTTCTTTTGTACGATATAATAAAGAGAATTAAGCTGCAATACTTGGGTTGATTTGCAGATTTTATTTATTCAGCATATAAACAAACAAACAATGCACAACAGGGTAGTTTTAACTGTAGTGTGTTGTGGTTTGTCTTTGTTTCTTGCATGTTACAAGCAGTTCCTCAGCTAAAGCCTAATACTTTTCAAAGGTAACATTTTATGTCATAGAATAGCTGCCCCAAGTGGTATTCAAGAACCATGATCTCCATTTTATGTCACAGGACTGAGACTCTTTTCTAAGTTAATGTGGCATCAAGCATGTCACAGTACCACTCTAGTACATAAAATGCTGTGATACCAAGGTGATGGGTGTTGTATGCATCCCTTATATGGACAGATACAGTGTCCCCAACTCCTGCAATTTTATCATGAGTCGTGAGATAAGCCCCAGCTTCTGGAGTCATTATGTTATGAGAGAATTTCAGCTTTTATTAAATAGAATAATAAAAAAGGTTCTAGCCCTCCAGATAAAAGATTGAAAATTTAAACCTCAAAGACTCAAAAACTGGAAGACAAATAAATAGTACCCAAAATGTATTATTTTTCAGATTTTACTTTTTAAGCCAATCTTATGATTTTGGTGGGCCTGACTGCTGACCTTTTACTTTTGGGGGTTGGCAGTACTGCAGATAGGTAGTAACAGGAGCTTGAGCGTCTTTTACTTTTTTGTTAAAACAAGGACTGATAGTACAATTGCCTTCTGATGTTCCTTGTGATACTGCTTGGTGCAATCTTGTTCAACTCCACAATGCGATTGCCAGTCAATGAATGACACCTGACATGCATCAGTCATTACTGACTACAAGTTTGGAACCTCCTTCCTGTCTTCCATCCTGCTCACACATTTGAAAGCAAAGGCAGTCTTTTTCATACCTGTCTTTCACAGTGACTAGGTAACCTTTGTTTCCTTCACAGATTTTCTTTGCTTCTGAGAATGTCGCAGATGTCTGTCCAACTGAGTAACAGTAAAAACCATGTCTTATCCAGCCCTGTCAACATAAACAGCAGACATGCACACGAGCTATTGTCAGATTGTGAAATGACATAGCACACAATAACTGTCCACTACACTTCTAAAAAATTATATTAAAGTTGTACCCAACCGTGAAGTTAAACTAAGGAACAATGAAAGAAAAAAATAATGTGATAATCAAACAGTGGTAGGGGCCACAAATGCCTTGACTGGATGTATGTAGGGACTGCAACTCCAGTAGCTGGAGTAGAATCCATGGTGGTGTTTGTGTGACTGTCGCACATTTTGCCTAGGGGTTGGCGGGAATACATGCCCACAACCTCTGCACAGTTCTCATACAAAGCCTGTTAAATATGACTTTTTGTTTGGGATCACCTCTGGAGCCCTTCTTAAAAATTGGTGTCACATTAGCTTTCCTCCAGTCATTTGGTACAGAAGCCGATTTAAATTATAGGTTACATACCACAGTTAGTAGTTCTGCAAGTTCCCTCAAAACTCTCGGGTGAATGCCATCTGTTCCTGGTCACTTATTACTGTTTAATTTATCAATTTGTTTCAAAACATCTGAGACACCCTAGCACCCCAATATTCACCACTGTCATGTAATTAGGATATGTTTTGCACAAAGTATGCCTTGTGAGGTATCATTCTAAGAGTCTTGATCTGCAAGACATTCGTATCTTGTTGGATTGTGTGTGCTATTGTCGTATGTGCAATTATGAAATTTGGCTATGTCTGTGTTACAGAAACATGTTGTGAGGTTGAAAACACCCACAAGCAGCCTTTCAGGGGCAACAGTAAAAAGGCCAAACAATGTTAATGGCTCATTGAGGAAATGCACACAAGCACCAGGATTACCCCAGGAACTGTGTACAATAGAAACCTCTCATAGATAGCACTACATAATGGGAACTGTTTGACCCAGATCACAGAAAAAAAGCTTTTCAGCAAGTGGGAAGAAGATCAGAAAGGGGGAAAATGACATCCTGGGGGTACCTCACTCTCCCTACAACAACACACCTGGAAACACCTGACGAATAAAGACTGAACAGGGGGGAAGTGATGGTCCCAGGCTAAGGGACTGCTAACCTCTGTATGAAAACCTGGGAAAGCCAAGCTGCAAAGCCAAGGTAGATTGTGCCTTTGGAATCTGCCAGCCTGTTTATCACTCAGGGTGAGAATCTGCTAATTCATATCCTACCTATCTAGTGTGTTAAGTTCAGATTGCAGTTTTGTTTATTTACTAAGTAATCTGCTTTGATCTCTTTGTTATCACTTATAATCACTTAAAATCCATGTTTTGTAGTTAATAAAATTATTTTATGTTTTAATCCAAACCAGTGTGCATTTGACTAAGGTGTCTGGAGAAAATCTCTGCTTGGTTACCACAAGTGTGCATTGTTCTCTTCACATTGAGGGAGAGGAGGACCGGGTATTAAACCCATATACTGGTCAGATTTGACCAGGGCAGGATGGTTCTGCTCTGGCGTCCCAGGCTGGGAAGTTGGTGATTAGAGAGCCTGCATGTAAATGCAGCTGGGTGTATCCCTACCCATATGAATGCTGGTGACAGTGCAAGCTGGGAGGGCTTTGCAACTTGTCACAGCAGCACAGTGTAGAGGGAGCCCAGGCCAGTGGGTCAGAGGGCTCAGTGGTAACCCAGTGCCAGGTGGCAGCCCGGGGAGGGGAAGACCATCACCACCTCCTTTAATGACACCTCATGGCCTTCAGAGCTGTGCAAGTCCCAGAAAGACATTGATGTTGGCTGCAGGCTGACTTCTAGGAAAATTATTGTTGCTGTGCATTTGGATGATGCAAAATCTTTCAGTGGAACAATAATTAAGTGATATATAGCAGATGACTCATGAATAACCAAAACTGCATAGGTCTGCTCAATTCAGAGAAGAGAGAATAAAGACAAAAGGAGGCACAAGTAACTGAAAAAGATATTCCGAGCAGGTTTTGCTTAAATGAGGGAGCAATTTTTTCCCAGTGGTCTGAAAATCATCAATGTGCATAAATTAACAATTTGCTAGGGTAAGAACAACAAGCTTTGTCAAAAGCAGTTATCGTAGATTGCCCCCTAAAAGGCAACATAATTTTAAAAGGAGTGAAGCCAATAAGTCAAATGATCTTCATGTCTTGCCATATATATATATATATATATTGTACTTACTTTCTGGCAGCCTGGGACAATGATCTCAACTTCCTCAGATTCTTCTGCCAAAGGTTTCATTTTACAGATGTAACCAAGTTTCTTTTCACAAACATCATCTGCCCAATAGCCATCCTGAACATGGCAAAGAAAAGAAAGGAATGTCAGTGAAGAAGAAGGATTAGGTCTTTAGAACATTCCTTATTCCTTTTTTCTAGGGTTTTCCTTAAAAAGATTCAGAGGAAATAAGAACCAGACTGAACATTCACCTGTCTCCAGGCAGAACCCAGACCACCTTTAAGCTTTGGTTTGGGTCATTTCAACTCCCATTCCACATGACTACAGTTCTCTTTTTCCTTACCATGACCCATCAATAAAGGTCCTCCCTTTAACTTTGAAATTCCATTGGAGACTCTGCTGCTCTGTCCAAAAGTTCATTAGCTTATTAGTGCTGGGTGCATATCCTCAGCGTGCACAGAGTTTAAATGGCATTTATGAAGGCTTCAGTGACTGCTGAGCAAGTCAACATTTTATTCTATTCTCATAATGCAGTATTTGAGCACGTTGCAGAAGTGCATTACATGACATGACTAGACTCTGCCATGACATGTATGAGTCTTTCTCTCCTTTTATCTCCTTGAAGAAAAACTATGAAATATTTTCAGAAAATATTTCTTTAATTTCTGCTCTGCTCTGCGTCTTTATTATCAAAGGTAAGTCAAAGAAGTGTGCCTTGCACGCAGAACAGAATGTGGTAAAATCTGAAGCAGTTCTTAGTTCCTGAGGGAGTTTTTTCTGGGGTGGCCTATGACTGAAAGGACACTATAATACACCATGCTAGCCCACAGCATGACACATTCCTGACAATAAGAACACTCATCCAAGAGAGAGATGGGAGCTTTTGCAAGGACAAGTTAGGATCTAGTAGAAGAGTATGGAGAAGAATGTCCCCAATGTACACACACATTATGTTTTTCTGGATTTATGGGACCTACTGGCCTGGGTCTTGTAGATTTTTTCTTAGCAAATATAATAAAGGTAAACTAGGCTTATGGGCTGCACCAACCAAGAAAAGGGGTGTGTGGCAGTTCGAAAACCTCACAATGGTCAAACTGAGTTTTTGAGAAAAAAATCTTAGTTTTTTCTTTAAAAACTGCAAAGCAAAGATGGGGAAAACAAAGTAAAGTGAAAATATAAGAGATTTAATAGGAATGTAGTCGTCCTCTCTCCACCGTACCCATGATGAGGGGCTGTAAACTGAGCACAAACCATGTGGTGCCTTTCCTGGTTAGGTTTCAGAGTAGCAGCCGTGTTAGTCTGTATTCGCAAAAAGAAAAGGAGTACTAGTGGCACCATAAATTGGTTAGTCTCTAAGGTGCCACAAGTACTCCTTTTCTTTTTCCTGGTTAGGAGGCTCCAGCTACATGGGCTTCCAAAGTTGTAATTTATTTTTCAGAAAAGCACAATAGATGTGCAAGATATTTTATAGACAAGTAAGAAAGTCCCTGAACCAAGAGTCTTACCATCAAGAAGATCCCACATTTTGTGAGTGGATGCTCAGTGCTCTTTAATCGACTTCCCTAGAGCAGACAAAGCCTTAGCCTAAGGTTTAGCATGACCCATCATGTTAAACCTTACTTGTACCCGTGTATTGCCTCCACGCTCACAATGCAGACTTTCGGATCAGGGCCTAAGAGCTGGATTTTCACAAAACCTAAATCTCCAGACATGATTACTTCAGACATCGTTGGCTTCAGACTAGTACCCTTGCTCTTGGACAATGAGTCAAACCACAATAATCACTTAGGCTGGCTATGTGTAAGAACATAAAAATGGCCATACTGGGTCAGACCAAAGGTCCATCCACCCCAGTATCCTGTCTACCGACAGTGGCCAATGCCAGGTGCCCCAGAGGGAGTGAACCTAACAGGTCATGATCTAGTTATCTCTCTCCTGCCATCCATCTCCACCCTCTGACAAACAGAGGCTAGGGACACCATTCCTTACCCATCCTGGCTAATAGCCATTAAGGGACTTAACCTCCATGAATTTATCCAGTTCTCTTTTAAACCCTGTTATAGTCCTAGCCTTCACAACCTCCTCAGGCAAGGAGTTCCACAGGTTGACTGTGCGCTGTATGAAGAATAACTTCCTTTTATTTGTTTTAAACCTGCTGACCATTAATTTCATTTGGTGGCTCCTAGTTCTTCTATTATAGGAACAAGCAAATAACTTTGCCTTATTCACTTTCTCCACACCACTCATGATTTTATAGACCTCTATCATATTCCCCCTTAGTCTCCTCTTTTCTTAGCTGAAATGTCCTAGCCTCTTTATCTCTCCTCATATGGGACCCGTTCCAACCCCCTAATCATTTTAGTGGCCCTTCTCTGAACCTTTACTAATGCCAATATATCTTTTTTGAGATGAGGGAACTGCATCTGTACGCAGTATTCAAGATGTGGGCATACAATGGATTTATATAAGGGTAATAAGATATTCTCCATCTTATTCTCTTATCGCTTTTTTAATGATTCCTAACATCCTGTTTGCTTTTTTGACTGCTGCTGCACACTGCGTGGATGTCTTCAGAGAACTAGCCATGATGACTCCAAGATCTTTCTCCTGATTAGCTGTAGCTAAATTAGCCCCCATCATATTGTATGTATAGTTGGGGTTATTTTTCCAAAGTGCATTACACTTTACATTTATACACATTAAATTTCATTTGCCATTTTGTTGCCCAATCACTTAGTTTTGTAAGATCTTTTTGAAGTTCTTCACAGTCTGCTTTTGTCTTAACTATCTTGAGCAGTTTAGTATCGCCTGCAAACTTTGCCACCTCACTGTTTACCCCATCTCCAGATCATTTATGAATAAGTTGAACAGGATTGGTCCTCGGACTGACCCTTGGGGAACACCACTAGTTACCCCTCTCCATTCTGAAAATTTACCATTTATTCCTACCCTTTGTTCCCTGTCTTTTAACCAGTTCTCAGTCCATGAAAGGATCTTCCCTCTTATCCCATGATGACTTAATTTATGTAAGAGCCTTTGGTGAGGGACCTTGTCAAAGGCTTTCTGGAAATCTAAGTACACTATGTCCACGGGATCCCCCTTGTCCACATGTTTGTTGACCCCTTCAGAGAACTCTAATAGATTCGTAAGACATGATTTCCCTTTACAGAAACCATGTTGACTTTTGCACAACAATTTATGTTCTTCCATGTGTCTGACAATTTTATTCTTTACTATTGTTTCAACTAATTTGCTCGGTACTGACGTTAGACTTACCGGTCTGTAATTGCCGGGATCACCTCTAGCGCCCTTTTAAAATATTAGTGTTACATTAGCTATCTTCTAGTCATTGGGTACAGAAGATGATTTAAAGGACAGGTTACAAACCATTGTTAATAGTTCCGCAATTTCACATTTGAGTTCTTTCAGAACTCTTGGGTGAATGACATCTGGTCCCAGTGACTTGTTACTGTTAAGTTTATCAATTAATTCCAAAACCTCCTCTAGTCACACTTCAATCTGTGACAATTCCTCAGATTTGTCACCTACAAAAGACAGCTCAGGTTTGGGAATCTCGCTAACATCCTCAGCCGTGAAGACTGAAGCAAACAATTCATTTAGTTTCTCCACGATGACTTTATCGTCTTTAAGTGCTCCTTTTGTATCTCGATCATCCAGGGGCCCCACTGGTTGTTTAGGAGGCTTCCTGCTTCTGATGTACTTAAAAAACATTTTGTTATTACCTTTTGAGTTTTTGGCTAGCTGTTCTTCAAACTCCTTTTTGGCTTTTCGTATTACATTTTTACATTTAATTTGGCAGTGTTTAAGCTCCTTTCTATTTACCTCACTAGGATTTGATGTCCACTTTTTAAAAGATGCCTTTTTATCTCTCACTGCTTCTTTTACATGGTTGTTAAGCCACGGTGGCTCTTTTTTAGCTCTTTTACTGTGTTTTTTTAATTTGGGGTATACATGCAAGTTTAGCCTCTATTATGGTGTCTTTGAAAAGTGTCCATGCAGCTTGCAGGGATTTCACTCTAGTCACTGTACTTTTTAATTTCTGTTTAACTAACCTCCTCATTTGTGCATAGTTCCCCTTTCTGAAATTAAATGCCACAGTGTTGGGCTGCTGAGGTGTTCTTCCCACCACAGGAATGTTAAATGTTATTATATTATGGTCACTATTTCCAAGCGGTCCTGTTAATAGTCACCTCTTGGACCAGATCCTGCGCTCCACTCAGGACTAGATCGAGAGTTGCCTCTCCCCTTGTGGGTTCCTGTACCAGCTGCTCCAAGAAGCAGTCATTTAAAGCATCAAGAAATTTTGTCTCTGCATTTCGTCCTGAGTGACATGTACCCAGTCAATATGGGGATAATTGAAATCCCCCACTATTATTGAGTTCTTTATTTTGATAGCCTCTCTAATCTCCCTTAGCATTTCATCGTCACTATCACTGCAGCAGGCAGCACGTTTCCCAGCTGGGGCAGATAGACACACAGTAGCTTACTAAAAATGTCAGTGTAGATGGGGGTAGCATAGGCAGCAGCTCGGGCTAGCTACACAAGCACGTATCCAGGGGATCCAGGCAGGTTTGTACTCAGGCAGCTAGTCTGAGCTGCTGTCCAGGCTACCACCAGCTACACTGCTATGTTTTAGTCCCCTAGCTGGAGAAGAGCTTGCATGTGTCTGTGTACCCAAGCCGGGACGCACGCTACCTGCTGCAGTGTAGACGTACCCTTTGAAAGAAAACATGCCAACAGTAGATATAATTGCATTATTTTACCTCTCCCTTCATAATGACACAATCTTCTTTCCTGTTGTTCGCATGGGATGGTTCTTCATGTAGCCACTTGGTGTATGTCACAGGAGTCCCATCACTCCATTCAAAATACATCTGAATCTTGAGGTCATTCAAACCAATCCACAATTCATCTGTAGGCTCTGAAAACATAAGAAGCAGTTATATATTTGCCCCCATCTTTGAATAGTGTTATTAAATTTCATGTCCATTCCTGACTGAGTAATGAAGGTGGATCTGCCTTCTTGGACTTTAAGACCTTACGTTAACATCATTGTCAGAACTGCAGAATTGATAATGGCTACATTATAAATATGTATGCAGGTAAAATACTGCCCTGTAGCAATACTCACTGTACCCAAGCTGAGACACTGTAAAGCTGTATTCTTCAATATTGTGGATACTCGCCAGATCTCCACCTTCTTTTCTACAGGAAGATAAAGCATCTTTCCATATTTTGGGTGCTCTGTAAATCATATAACAGTGGCCTGAATAGGGGATCCATCCACTGGGGCATTTAATAGGCTTAAAGTCACCTAAAGGAAAAAAAAAGTTTCAAACAATTATTCAGAAGAGCAATCGAAAGAGGTGGGAATGAAGGGTTCCAGCTACATAGGCAGGCCATGACCCATCCTGCCAGAGTAGGACAGACTACATCTACACTGCAATGAAAGACCCACAGTACAGCCACGACAGGCCTGAGCCAGCTGACTCTGCCTCACTGGGTTTGGGCTGCAGGGCTAAAAACTGCAGTGTAGAAGTTGTGTTTGGGTGGAGCCCAAGCTCTGAAACCCTGTGAGGGGGGTGGGATGTCTCAGAACGTGGGCTCCAACCTGACCCCAACCATCTACGCTATTTTTAGTCCCGCAGCCCAAGCCCCACGAGCCCAGGTGAATTGACCTGGGTTTGAAGACTTGGTGCAGCAGGTTTTTTATAGCTGTGTAGATGTATCCAATGGGTCTCAGAGGCCAGGTGCAGGATCCATTCCAGATCACCCCTGATGCAGTACATTGTCCCTCTAATATATTCTGCAGCTTTCAGCATACATGCAAGGGACTCAGGTCCTGATTAGTCCCCCCAGGGCAGGAGCCTTTGCTCTCTGAGGAGCTTGTGTTCCTGGAACTTTTTCAAAGTGGTCTTAGTGGAGCAACACTGAGACACCTTCAGAGAACTGACATCATGGAATTCTTCCACACCTGTTTACAACTGACCAACAGGCCTAACAATTTGGTTTTGACAATTGAGACAGAAGGTTATGTGCATTGTAGAAAGATGCATTACTTGTTATCTTTCGCTCATTGCAGGACATTCTATAGAGTTTGAATAAATAGCTTTTATTTGTATTGACCAGCCTACCTGAGGGAATAATAAAGGAATCCAAAGAGGAATTTCCTTTTTTACAGATGTATCCAAGTTTCTGATCACACTGCTGGTTTTCCCATTTACCATTCCGAGACTGTAGCATTCCACAGATTTTTTCAGACTCAAGAGAGGGACTTCCTTTGAGAAACAGACAAAAAGCAGAGAATCTCTATATTAACACTGTACATCTTCATCTCACCAACTAAAGGAGTAATCTGTTGGGGGTCTTCGTGCACTTACAAATTCATTGCCATATTATTTGCTAATAATCCTCACTTTAAGGACAGAAGACTAGATGACAATTATTTGGCTGACCAACAACACTGATGCTATAAAGTTATTGTCCATTAGTCCAAACAGTCCGACTATAACTGGATATTCTTATATAGTTCCACATTTAAGCCACTGGTGAGTGTGTGTCACAGTACCCCTTTGAGCCCCATCTGCAGGGAATATGAGTCTGTTACAACCCTACGTAGCAAGCTTTAGTTCAAGCTGCAGCAACCCATACTTTTAGCTCTGGGGGTCCCTGATTCAATTCCAATGTGTCAATCATGATGTTCATCACACTTGCTCTCTCTGACCTTTAGAAATCCCAGGGAAACAGTGTCCAGGAGGAAACTCAGTATATTGTATTTATGAAGAAAGTTGGATTAATTTTTATAATATAAAAGATAGACCAAATATATATATTTTCACAAGTCAGAGGCAATATGCTGATTTGAAAATTTTGAGCATCTACAGTTTATGAACCTTATCCCACTTTGGCCATAAATGGGAGGAGACATGCTGAGGAAATATACTAGAGCCTAAGGCAAAAGATTAATATCTGAGAAATGGCTACCCTGATTTGGGGGATCTATTGATGTAGAAATTATGAATTCTCATTGATTTTATGAGCCCTATGTATGTATAATGCTAACCTGCAATGTGTAGCAAACCAGCCAGGGGCTGACAAGGACCATGCCATTTATCACACACCCTGTCTGGAAGAAGCTACAGAATAACAGAATACAGAATTAACTAACTAAGAAAGAAGACACTAACATTTTAGTGACTGTGTTCTGGCAGGCCAATGGGTATACTAACAGAGGTACCTGACCTGGAATAATCCAGTTATTCCAAGAGGTCAACAGGGAGTAGGGTTTAGAGTAGCGGTATTTCCCCAGAAGGGAACAAAGAGACTGAAGTCTTGGGACAGCCCTTTAAAAACAGCTAGGGACTCCTTAGAAAACAGTGACCCATATCCCAAAGAATGCTCAAGAGTGATGAGGAAACTGAGGGAGGAAATGGAATTTAGCTGTATCTTATTTTGCATGATTCTGTACTTCTTTTGAGCTGCCTAAAGTAACAGCTAATTATTTTGGAAAGCCTGGGTCAGTTTGCATCAAATATCATCTCTGAAGAAATAAATGGTAAGCCAGAGGGCCCACAAGGCTGGGGCTCTGGGAAGGGTGGGCTTAAGCAGCTAGCAAGTCAGGGGCACAACAGCTAATGAGTTTTAGAGCCGAGGGCATTTGGACAATGAGATTTCAGCTTTCAGAAGGGGATGTTAAAAGATCATCTGCACCCTGAGAGTATGCTGAGAAACCGTGAGCCAGAGGCAGTGCCTGTACTCTACTCAGACACAGAAAAGCTTTAAAGCACATGGGCCCAGTGTATGGGACCCAAATACAGCATCCTGGTGAGTTTCGAAAGAGGGAGCTTGACCAGAGCTGTGACAGAAACTTCAACTCCTTCCTGATTACAGGCTGCTACAAGGATGTTGCTCTAGTTACTCCTGCAATTTTTGCACAAAGTATCTACTGCCCATTGGTGTTCTGGGCCCCAGTTACCCTCACCATGCCCACGTTTCCCCTCCTTTCCTACCACAGACTAGGGCTCCATGGAAGGTGGAGGTGGTGCCTGCACCATGTGGACACTTTTAAAGAATACCGACTGTTCATAGGTATTTCTACTTCACCTTTCACCATGCACCTGCAGCCAGAACCAAGGCCTACTGAAGTCACTGGAAAGACTCACGTTAACTTCGATGGGCTTTGGGTCACACCCCTGATTCAAAAGCTCTCAAATATCTCTCTGCATTGCGTGGGCATCTGTCAGGGTTCCTTCCCCACTCTGAACTCTGGGGTACAGATGTGGGGACTGGCATGAAAGACCCCCTAAGTTTATTTTTACCAGCTTAGGTTAAAAACTTCCCAAGGCACAAATTCCACCTTGTCCTTGAACAGTATGCTGCCACCACCAAGTGATTTAGACAAAGAATCAGGGAAAGGACCACTTGGAGTTCCTGTTCCCTAAAATATGCACCCCTCCCCCCAAGTCTATTCACCCCCTTTCCTAGGGAGGTTTGAGAATAATATATCAACCAAATAGGTAAACCAGACCCTTGGGTTTTTAGGACACTGAAAACCCCAATCAGATTCTTAAAAGAAGAATTTTATTTAAAGAAAAGGTAAAAGAATCACCTCTGTAAAATCAGGATGGAAGATAACTTTACAGGATAACAAAAGATTCACAAATACAAAGGAACTCCATCTAGGCTTAGTTCAAAGTTACAAAAAAAACCCAAAACCCCAGGAATAAACCTCCGTCTAACCAAGGGAAAATTCACAAGCTAAAACAAAAGATAATCTAACACGCCTTGCCTGGCTTTACTTACTATTTTTGTAATATTAGAGACTGGTTCAGGATTGGTTTATAGGAGAAGGAGTTTTCTGACCTGATGCTTCTCTGCTTTCCAAGAGAACACACCAAAACAAAGCCTTCTCCCCCCCCCCCACCCTGATTTGAAAGTATCTTCTTTCCCCATTGGTCCTTTTGGTCAGGTGCCAACCAGGTTATTTGAGCTTCTTAACCCCTTACAGATAAGGAGGAATTCTAGGCTACCCTTAGCTGTATGGTTATGACATGGGCTTTGGGTCACACCCCTGATTCAAAAGCTCTCAAATGTCCCTCTGCATTGCATGGGCATCATACCCCTCTGATAGCCAAGGAATGCTACATTAATTCATGTTGGACTATACATCTGATATTGTTTCAAAATCAGCTGACGTGCATACTGATAGGACTACTTAAATGTAAATTTAACATTTTTGTGCTGTCATACAGTATATCCTATGAGTTCTTATACATACTCCTAATCATACTATGAGTTATACATTCATGTGTTGCCAGACGAATGTATTTTAATTGTCATATGGACAATCACATAATAAAAATAGAGGTGTTTTCAACCATTTCATACAAAATTTCCTATAACAACTATTTTTTGAGGTGGGGGGAAAATGAGAGAAAAAGATCAGTGATGTTTCAAAACAGATGTGGCAACAGCATCGAGGGTATGATATTTGGTGGTTGTGTTTTACCTTGTCATTTAATTATGGACTTTACAAGAAATAAATGTTTGATTCGTTAGTAGTTTACATGCTTTATGAAAAATGATTATGATGTCACAGATACAGGATTCGCAAAAAGAAAAGGAGTACTTGTGGCACAAAGTACTCCTTTTCTTTTTGCGAATACAGACTAACACGGCTGCTACTCTGAAACCTGTCAGATACAGGATTATAAATCTAACTGGGGAAAAATATAGCAGACCTGTGAAGACCTTTGTTCAAATGTTATAAATAGTTTTTAAAAATGAGGAAAAAAATGAAAATCTACAATGTATGGTATGTAATGTTTATAAACAGAAGGTATTTCAATGTTTTTAATGAGTTTTCCATCTGAATTGAATAGTATGTAAGAAAATCGCTACTGGAAAATCAGGTGTGTGAAGAAGATGCAAAGGTCTTTAGTCTTTAAATGCTTTCTGGGTTTGGGAATCTTCTCTTTCATTTTGGATTACAAAGTAAGGACAAATTACTCTCACAGCACTCTTGTGTTCTACCTTTTTTATAGTCCCATTGACATCAGTGGGAATTCTGTGAATGTGGAGACAGCAGAAAATAGGAGCTCAGACCCACCATGCATATATAAGAGCAAAATTTTGCCCATAAACTGACCATCATTAAACAGATGTGCACCTACCTGGAGCCCAGTTTAAATATCTGAATGGACTGCCACCAATCCATTGCCATCCACCATTGGAATTCAACCTGTTAAGTCCAATCCAGAGTTCAGAATTCACTCTGCCAGTTAGCCCTAAGTAACCAAAAGAAACAAAATGACAATTTGTTAAACGGAGTTGGTTTTGTAGTGACTGTACAAAGCTTTAATTAAAACTAATAGTTTGAAAACTACATGTCTTGGACAAAATCAGGTATGTAGAGTCATCTATCATACAAAGATGCTGCAACACCTTGTTATTGGTAAGGAGGAAATAAATTTTTGGAGCATATTAATGTACATTTTGTTGGATAAACTTTGTTCCCTCCCATCTTCCTAAAAATGCCCGAATCAGGTGTATGTCTGTGTGTATAGATGTAGAGAAAGTGCCAGAGATTGACTTGTTATTTAGCTTTACCTGTCAGATAAGTTTGCTCATGTAGCTCTGTAATACTTAATAATTCCGCCTTCTGTTGCTGGCAGCTTTTCCGTGCTTGGTGCCATGTTAGGGCCGAGTTGGAGTTTATCTGGTAGTGGGTGCCTGTTAAAGGGTTTGTAGTCCAAAAGTCTTTGTCAATGTTGTCTGTAAAGAGATGAATGGCACAGTATTCGTTAATTGAAAATATAATCAATCATAGCTGCCAAGATTTGAAACCATACCCCCAGTATATTCTAATTAACATAAAGAAAAAATTTGCATATATTTAGATTGCTTTGCACACAATGATTGCCCCACTTACACACCCTCCATTCATTCAATACTTACTTTTTGACACCTACCCAAATATATATTATATATATATATACTCTGAAACCAAATATATATATAATCTGTCGTTCTGCACTTCCACTGCCTCACCCCATCGAACCTCTCTTAAGACCTGCCAAGTTTCCAACATTATGAATTGGGATTTCCCTGTAGACTAGGTTTTCAGACCCCTTTAACTGATCTGTGAGGAAATCTCCATCTGATTGGCTGCTTTTCCTCTGCATACTGGGGAAAGGTAGCTAATCAGAGATCAGATGGGTAGCCGTGTTAGCCTGTATCCACAAAAACAACGAGGAGTCCAGTGGCACCTTAAAGACTAACAGATTTATTCCATGCATCTGAAGAAGTGGAGTTTTTTACCCACAAAACTTATGCCCAAATAAATCAGTTAGTCTTTAAGGTGCCACTGGACTCCTCGCTGTTTTAATCAGAGATGTTACACAGTCAGAGGGAAATTTTCATTTCTCAGCTTGTGCAGCAGTAAGAACTCCCACCCCTGCCTCACAGATGTGAATAGCTGCTCGCAACCAGTTGAGAACCTGCTCCCCACCCCTTAGGCCAGCAAAGGGGATAAAGATGCTAATGCTGCCTCATGTCCCACTGGAAAATTCTATTCCTGGCTAGAAACGTCCAAGTTGGGGGTAAGGCCCCTGGAATTACCAACCTTCTGAAGGTAGACGGCTGCTGTCACTATGTGCCCTTGCTCCTACATTTGTTGCCCCACCCATTATCTCATCTATCCCTGACCCTGTTTGCTGCCCCATCCCCCAATGTGCTATCCCGATTCCCCATGTTTCCTCCTTGCCTAGTATGCTGATCTCCACCTCACCCCCACAGCTAACCCCAGGCCCTGGTTTCCCCCATAACACATGTGTCTTCTAGTTCCTCCCACTGGCTTCTGGGAATGCCTGGATGCTCTTCCCTCCTCCATCACCAATCTTTAGGAGTCCATCAAAAGGGGCCACTGCCTCCCCAGTACCACCCAGTAAGCCTCCTGGGCAGGGACTGCAAGTGATAGGGGGTTAAGTATGTGCTTAAACTGTTTTCCTAAATCAGGACCCTTCTTTTAAATGTGAAGAATTTACCTTTCAATGGACAATATCCAAACAGAGAGTCTTCATCAAAGTCTGTAGATGTTGCACACCAGGGGAAGCCCTGTTCGTTATCAGCCTTTCTATCGTTTGTACATTCAGTGTACCAAGTACTATTGAACTTGAAAGGGAATACACAGGGTGCCCCAAAGGCATTTCCTAGTAGTGTAAACATATCTAAGGAAACAAATGGATAGAGATAGCAATAATTGTGAACCAGTGTCCACCAAAATGTTTGATCATAAACCACATGCCATGCAAATAACTTAGTTAAGCAGGAGTTGATGCTGAGAGTACATATAATTAATTTTCATAGTAAAAATCCTTACATTAACACCATTGTCATAATCAAAGCTGAGGGAGCCAGGAAATTCTCAGTTAAGGTTACATTTTAAAGAGTTATTTAGCAAGTAGAGATGTGCAAAGTTAAGCTCATCCAAACAACTTTAGCCTGGCCTTCATACTCATTTCAACCTACCATATTTCTTTGTAACTCTGTCTGGGCCAGATTTTCAAAAATGTTCAGACCCGTTATATATTTAATACCTGCTTTGAATTAAGTGAGGATTTTTTTTTCTTTCAGTCAAGGAATATTTGATAGAACCCTAGAAATCTGTAGCTAAATCTTACATTTGGAATAGTTACTTCACTGACTGCTTCCCTTTTGCTCTAAGCATCATAATTTGTGGCTGGCTTCTACCAGCAGCAAATTATGACAACCCCTCTCACAGCTCAGCAGCAATGGCTGTGGTCAGTTGTGGGGCGGAGCCAAAGCCCTGTCCATTCGTACTTACGCACCCTTCTCCTTGCCCTCTTGCTGTGGGAGGGGAATAAACAGGCAGGCAGTCCCCTTTCATTTCTTTGTGACTGGAGCCAAGAGTTGGGTCGCCCAAAGAGAGACCTGATGGGGATGGTTTTTATTCCCCCTTACTCCTCTAGTTACAATCTAGCTGTTCAATACAGAAAATTCTTGTAATTATTTCCACTTCTTATGCTGTTGCTAAAGGGGAAGAGTTTCCAAAGTTCCGAGGTTAGTTTAAATGCAACCTCAATTCCAAATCACCTGACTTCTAATGTTTGCTTGTTGGTAGTTAAACCTTATTGAAATGATCTTTACTGTTAAATTAATGACATGAACTCTGAACTTTAACTCCAGGCTTCTGAAAGCATGGGAGCCGAAAGAACAGCTGGAGCAGCCAAGAACAGGCTCAGGCATGCTCTCACTGTTTATAGCAGACTGTCACACCAACAGTAGTAGGTGAAAATTGCCCCTCCAAAGCTAAGACTTCTGGGATAAGCAGAAAAAAAAACACTTATTTTTTACCGAATCCATTTTAAAATATGTTTCTTTGTACACTAAACTTCAGGTCCTTAGGATTTAAGTGGTTTTCTTTTAATTATTATTTTGACAAACATTATTTCACTTCACCTTTAAATGTATTTTCCCATTATAAACGCAAACATAGTGAGTGAATAGGGATCATAAAGTGAAACTCCTTTTCGTATGCTGCTGGCCCACCATGTATGCAATTGAACTCAGGAAGAGCTGGGTCTCACATCCAGTTACTCTAATGTAGTGTTCCATGGGCAACGACTGAATAGATTAAGTTATATCAACCCTAGGACATTAAATACAATGTAATTCCACATTTCGTCCACAAAGGGCCAAGCTGATACCAATATATACACAGATCTTTTATTTTCATCGTTGTACAAATAGAATAATCATTCCCTATATACGGATTGACACAATGTAGCAGTCTAACATTAATGTAGTTCAATTGGCACTTGGAATTGCCCTTGCCAAGGTCAGTTCTTGAAAGGTCCAATTTTGTTCTCTACCTGGAGTCAGCTCTGCTATTGAGCCAATCGTAGTTCTGTGCATGGAATGATGGTAAGGTGAGGTGCATTGAAAGCAAAATACTCTGATAGCTACACAGGTAAATTCATTCAGAATAAAGAGATTCATTTTCAAAACTTTACCTTCATAGCCCTGAGAACACAAACTTTCTGTAGTTCCATAGATCTTCCATCTATTCCATGAGCCTGATCCTTTGGACAGCATGGCTTTCCTTTCCTCTCCATGGGCAGAGCTGAAAAATACATCTTCCCCTTGGATTGCGAGAAGGGTTTCATTTCTGCATTCCCACTGCTGGAGTTCGCTTGTCTTGTTACAAGGATACAGAGTGATTGCAGCCTGGTCTTTCATTGAAGGCACTCCCAAGCATAACTTGAATGCCATACTCAGAATCTGGTGGCCAGAGACCCACTTGAATTTTTGTGACTCATCGTCCTGGTTGCAAGTGGCAATTATGATTGAGTTAGAGTTTTGAGCTTTTACACAGAGCTTATGGTCTTCATTGTGTATTAAAAATATTCCACTACCTGTAAAACAAAATGAGAAAAAATATATGGTGAAGGCTGTAATAGGAGGTAAGCTGGTCACTTATTGGACATTTGAGCCTCCTGCAGTGAAAGATGCTGTTGTGATGGTGGCAAACCTGGTGCCAGGTAATGCCAAGGTCCCCATGCCTCACTTGGATACTGACAGATACGTAGCTGGAATTAGGCTGGCTCCCTTGTGTGTATTATTAAAATAAATGTAGTAGTATAAAAATATGCTGAGTGTTTAGATTTTATTCAGTGCTTGTAAGTTGCTGCATGCATTGATCTCACTTAGTATATCAGTATCCCATATTGTGAGGTCATACTTGTGCATTTGCATTGCAAGCCTCTATAGTTGTGTCAGCCACCAGACAGGAGAGAGAGACATTAATTCGTGTAAAAAGAAAAGGAGTACTTGTGGCACCTTAGAGACTAACAAATTTATTTGAGCATAAGTTTTCGTGAGCTACAGCTCACTTCATTGGATGCATGTCACCACAATTATCACCACAAAATCATGAAGTATCCCACCTGAGAGACTAAAGGGAGTCTTCGGGCCGACAAGCAATAGCAAAACATCACCTTCTGGGAACCTCTCTCAAAGAAAGGACTGATGTCATTCAGAAACGACTTAGTCCACCCCACTAGCGGTTGTAGGCATAGCAACAGCTCCTCATGGTCAATGGTATCAAAGGCACCTGATTTATCTTAAAGAATTAGCATTGACACATTACCCCCCAGCCTTTGACCAAATTTATCCGCACAGTTTCTGACCCATATCTTGGTCTAAAACCCGATTATATGCCATAAAGGAAATCTGAGGACTCCAGATGCCACCAAAACTGAGTGAAGCTGTTTTAAATTAGGGCTAATAAATAGAGCATAACTAAATAAATAATCTCACTCTGCCCCAAAGAGAAAATAACTAAGGAAAGGATGAAAAGAGAAGCACTTTTTTATCCTCACTTCAAAAAAAGGCAGGACAGGAACTTACCTGGCAATTGAATTGATGTTGTGACTAGGGAAAGAAAAATCAGGAGCAGGTAGACAGACATGGCAAATGTTTCATTCCCTTCTTCCCTTCACCAAAAACAACAATGAGCTCTAATCAGTGCCTCATAAGAAAATCCTTCCCTAATGAGACAGATTAGCAGGTACTCCTTAGTTTGGAAGAGTTGGTGAAAAAAGGGAAGTTCTCAGCTTTAAATAGGGAACTATCCTGTCCCATGTGACATTTCTGAAATACATTTATTGTAAGAACTTTGCATCCGTAAGCTAATTTCTCTAGGGTTGAAAGAGTGTGTTCTTCTACAGAAATGTCAATCACACACTTCATGTTTGCAGTTCATTGTGGATTTCTGGGAACATGGTTGTCACACAAGGCTAGTTTTCTGGGTTACTAAGCCAATCAGCATTCTAGTGAGAATACAGTAAAAAAGACCAGGAGAGGGAGAAAGAGGAAGCAGAGATGAGTCTGTAAATGTGCATCATTAACTTAAGAGAAAAAGCATTAGTCCAACATTACACTTTTTAGAGAATATGAAATTCAAAGTTGATGTGACCTTGGAGTGAGCAGGGACTGAGGATTCCCAACCCTGCAGATTCATAGAAAAGAGGAAATCTACAGAAGCAAGAGCTGTCTTCATTGACAACTGGCCCTTCCGTGGCTCCATTGCCCATGCTCTCACAGGAGCCAGGAGGCTGATGACTACCTTAGTAGCAGCCATGGAGGGAACCCACAGAGACAATACCAGATCTCCAGCTAGAAATTTGGTGGGGTTTCAAGTGATAGTGCTAATAGCCCTCCTGGCTATTAGTCAGGATGGACAGGAATGATGTCCCTAGCCTGTTTCCCAGAGCCTGGAAATAGGTATAGGTGACAGGGGATGGATCACTTGATGATTACCAGTTCTGTTCATTCCCTCTGGGGCACCTGGCATTGGCCACTGTCGGAAGACAGGATACTGGGCTAGAAGGACCTTTGGTCTGACCCAGTATGGCTGTTCTTATGCTGTAGAGGGCAGCTAGATCACTGCCTCATAGAAAAACCGTAGAGCTCCAACAAAGTGGCATTGCCTGAAAAATCTTCAGGAGTTGGGGGGATTTAATGTTATGAAAAGATGGTAGGCCCTATATAGGTCAGGGTAAAGGTAGTTTTACATTATTGGGCTGCTGGAAGCAGGTGCTTGCAATTCAGACTCTTCAGGTGAGAGACTACAGAGTTCTAAAAGCTGTACATGCCCTTCCTTTGAGCTTTATCTTTGAACAGTGACCGAGGGACATGACCTGTCCTTGTCTAGCTGAGTTTTTCAGCTAAATACATTTTGATTAGGAATTTTCACTCTAAGGTAAAGTTATGAAGAAAGAAAGAAAGTTTATTTTCCTATTTTTGAAAATTAGAGGCAATTCCCAAACAAAAATTTCCATTAGGAGAGTTAAAGCAATGCCATATGCACCAACCTCAGTTTTTAGAAGAGTGGCTCACTTTTCTAAACACTTGCTCCCTTTAAAATATATAATAATATATAATATATATAATAAGTACAAGCTACAAGCTATTACTGAGGATGCCTGACACTTTCTATTATAAGACCCTATTTTCACTTGCTTATAACTTTGCCATACTCTAACCATTTGGTTTGAAAAGTTCTGTGCTGGGTGTCTGTTATTTGCTTCTTTATTTGAAAGTTTCCAACAAAAGGGTTCAGCCATTTCTTAGAACAAGGTTAGGTAAATATATTGTTTAGTCATATTAAAAAAATTCTTTGAAAAGCTCAAGTGCTTCCAGGCTTTGGAGAAGGAACTTGAAAGTGATAAGTCTTTGAAAAATCTCAGTTCACACATGCTCAGTAGAGACTTGGAAGAATTTAACTGCAAAGGTTCAAGAAGATTCTTCCTACAGTAAACATGCTCTATCCTGAGACTACAGGTACCAAGCAGGACTTTCCCTGAAATTGCTGTTCCTGGTTGCTGCACGCATAGGCGCCGATGTCTGCTCGCACTGGTGGGTGCTTGACCCCACTCTGTCCCTGGCCCCCCTCTCATTCCAACCCTTTCCCGAAAGTCCCCACCCCAACTCCATCCCCTCCCTACCCCATTCCAACTCCTTCCCCAAATCCCCACCCTGGCCCTGTCTCTTCCCCACTCCCCCCCGAGCGTGCCATGTTCCTGCTCCTCCCCCCTCCCTCCCGGAGCTTGCTACGCTGCCAAACAGCTGTTTGGTGGTGGCAAGAGCTGGGAGGTAGGCAGAGGAGTGGGGACGTGGCACACTCAGGGGAGGAGGCGGAGGTGGAGTGGAGGTGAGAAGGGGCAGAGAGGGGAGCTTGGCTGCCGGTGGGTGCAGAGCACCCACTAATTTTTCCCAGCGGATGCTCCAGCCCCAGAGCACCCACAGAGTTGGCACCTATGGTTGCAGTGGTGGTACTGGGCACCAGAACTGAGAACAGGGAGCCTTTCAGTCCTGTGCTGTCAGTGTTCTCTCTCCTGTCCCAGGAAGCCGGGAGGAGCAAGCCACCTGACAAATGCAGAGGAGAGAAGAGCCAGATCAGGGAGGGGCAGTGCATTTCTGGTACTTCAAGAACTCTCATTCATAAGCAATAGTGCTGGTCGTAAAGAAATGCCCCTTCCAGCAGTGCTGGAATGGTGTTCTGGAACATTCTGGCATGACTCACGCCCTGAGGAGGGACCAGGGAATAGAATGGGACAAGGAGCTGAGGCGGGGGGGTTGATAGATGGGGCAGGAGGCTGGCAGGTGTGGGGGAAGAGAAGCTTGGACTGGAAGCTGGAGGTGAATGGGAATATGGATGGGCTGGACAAGGTGACTGGGACTGAGAGGAGGGGAGCCTGGGACTGGCTGGGTGGGGAAATGGGGGTGGGAAGGGAACAGGAGACTGGGAGTCAGTGGATGGAAGAGACTATGAGTGGCTGGAAAAAGTAGTATGTATACATGTAATTAAAGATTGTATCATAATGTATATGCCCAAGGCACTCAAAATAAGGACGAACAAGCAACCTTTGTTCTGGCCTTGCGTAACTTTGAAATGCTCAGCTTTGCAATTGTAATGTTCCTTTAGCATGACTTTTGTGTGTAATATATATATTGTAATTTGGGTTATTTTGGAGGCCCCTGATTAAGGCCCTCTTTTTCTAGTACAATCACTATCTCCTTAGTCAGGCGTTTTTCTGTTTCTTCTACAAGGGTCAGAGCCAGCAGAAGTTGCACCAGAGGCAACTGGATGATGACAGTGGGAGGAAATTGGAGAGTTGTAGGAAAGTAGAACCTCTGCCATCACTCCCATTCTCATGCCTGGTGCACAGGACGTCAAGTGTCCCAGACAGCCCCAACAGAACAGAAGCCAAGAGAGAGGGTTTATAGTAACAGAATGCACATTAATACAGTGGGGGATGAGAAAGTGAACCTGTTCTGAAGATTGATTAGTTTTTGGAGAAGTAGTTGCTAATATTAAAAGGCACCAAGGATCTGTAGAGAGATGCTAATAACAAATAAATAGAAATATTAGGGGGTCTTTCACCTCAGGGCCTATACTTGATTTTGCCACCACAGGGTTGCCAGGTGTCTAGTTTTTGACTGGAATGCCTGGTCGAAAAGGAACCCTGGCGGTTCCAGTCAGCACTGCTGACTGGGTCATTAAGTTATGCTGATAGTTATGTTAGTCGGCAGCACAGGCAGGCTCCCTACCCAGCTATGAGTGACTTCCGGGAAGCTGCCAGCATCTCCCTCTGGCTCCTAGTTGGAGGGACAGCCACAGGAGCTCTGCGCACTGTCCCCACCCCCAGTGCCAGCTCAGCTGCTCCCATAGGCCAGGAACCACAGCCAATGGGAGCTGAGGGGGTGGTGACTGCAGGTGCGGGCAGCAAGGAGAGCCACATGGTCACGCCTCTGCTTAGGAGGCGGAGGGAGATGCCGGCAGCTTCCTGGGAGCCACCTGAGGTAAGCGCTGCCAGGAGCCCGCACCCCCCACCTCCTTCTGCACCCCAACCCCCTGCCCCAGCCCAGATTCCCCTCCTGCACCCCAAACCCAAGCCTCACCCCAGAACCCACAGCCCCAGCTGGAGCCCTCACCCCCCCACACACACACACTCCAACCCCCTGCCTCAGCCCAGAGCCTACTCCTGCACCCCAAGCCCCTCATCTCCAGCCCCATCCCAGAGCCCATACCTGGAGCCCTCCCCCACCCCCACCTCCTGCCCCAGCCCGCTGAAAATGAGTGAGTGAGCGAGGGTGGGGGAGAGCAAGCGACAGAGGGAGGGGGATGGAGTGAGCAGGAGGCGTGGCCTCGGAAAAGCGGTGGGGTGGGGGGGGCAAGGGAGTTTGCTTTTCTGCAAATAGAAAGTTGGCAACCCTAAGCACAAACCCCAGCAGCACAAGTCTCCAGCAGCAGCACTTCAGGGAGGTAGCAGTGGCAGAGCCTAAATCTACCTTCCATTGAGTGAAGTGGGGCCCTAAAGCCCGGACCTGGGAAGAAGGTTAAAGGCATAGCAATGATTCAGCATGTCCTATCAGCAGCATCTGCCTAGGGGACAGGAAATCTTTACTTTCACAGTACTCAGATGCACCACCTTCCCTTAAAATCTGGACACATTTGTAGAAAATGAGGAAATGAAGATTAAATACATATTAGCAAGAAATGTGGCAACACATTAAACATAGATACAGCTGTGTATCATCACTTGACTGATGTTTTGTGGCCTAGAGGAAATGATCTCAGTCAGTGATCTCAGACCAGGTTCTAGTAGACAGTTTTCCACATAAAGTCCTTGTGGCACAACTGCTCCTTGCCCTAGTTAAAAGTGGATTAAAGAACTCCTCTGGGCTCAATTAACCCCAATCTGCCGTACCTGCACCACTTCCCACAGCTCACATTGGCCGGGAACGGTGAACCGCGGCCACTGGGAGGTGTGGGCAACCATGCAAATGTAAACAAACTGTCTAACGGCCCACCAGCAGATTACCCTGATGGGCTGTGTGTGGCCCACAGGCTGCCCATCACTGGCCTAGGATAGATTTCTCTAGTTTGTTTAAGAAGTGGTCATGTAAGACAGTATCAAAAGATTTAAAGCCGAGATATACCCCATCTACTGCTTCCCCCTAACTACAAGGCATGTTACCTTATCAAAGAAGAATATTAGGTTGGTTTGACATGATTTCATTTTGACAAATCCATGTTGACTGTTACTTATCACCTTATTTTCTTCTAGGTGCTTACAAATTGATTGTTTAATTATTTGCTCCATTATCTTTTCAGGTACCAAAATTAAGCTGACTGGTCTATAATTTCCTGGGTTGTCTTTACTCCATCTGAGACAGTTCCTCAGATTTGTCACCTAAAAAGAATGGCTTAAATCGGGGAATCTTCCTCACATCTTCACTGGTGAAGACCCATGCAAAGAATTCATTTAGTTTCTCTGCAATGGCCTTATCATCCTTGAGTACACCTTTAGCATCTCAATCATCCAGTGACCCCACTGGATGTTTAGCAAGCTTCCTGCTTCTGATTTACTTAAAACAATTTTTTGCTATTCGTTTTTGAGTCTTTGATTAGCTGTTCTTCAAATTCTTTTTTGGCCTAATTACATTTTTAAACTTTGCCAGAGTTTATGTTCCTGTCTATTTTCCTCACAAGGGTTTGACTTCCACTTTTAAAAGAATGCCTTCTTGCCTCTCACTGCTTCTTTTACTTTGCAGTTTAGCCATGGCGACATTTTTTTTTTGTTCCTTTTACAATGTTTTTTAATTTTGGGTATACATTTAAATTGAGCCTCTATTTTGTTATCTTTAAAAAGCTTCCATGCAACTTCAAGGGATTTCACTTTTTACACTGTATCTTTTAATATATATAAGCACTTAGCTAAAAAGTGACAATATTTTATCTCCCATTACATGATGTAATTGAATAGGACTCTTTTTCATTTAACTGTTTCTCATCAGATCCTACACATATTTTCAGGTTTCCATCCTCTCCTCCTTAGTAGGACATAGAGAATCTCCATTAATAGATTTTCCCTTAAGGGATATCTCTGTCCAAACTATGTGCTCCTCTGCACCTGTTGGCTTTCCCCTGTCCCTAGGTTAAAAACTGCTCTATGACCTTTTACATTTTAAGTGTCAGCAATCTGGTTCCATTTTGGTTTAGGTGGAGCCCATCCTTCCTGTATAGGCTCCCCCTTTCCCAAAAGTTTACCCAGTTCCTAATACAGTAAGTCTAAACCCCTCCTCCATACACCATCATCTCATCCATGCACTGAGCACCTGCAGTTCTGCCTGTCGACTGGCCCTGCGTGTAAAACTGGAAGTATTTCAGAGAATGCTACCATGATGTCCTGGACTTTAATCTCTTATATAGCAGCCTAAATTTGGCCTCCAGGACCTCTCTCCTATCCTTCCCTTTGCCATCAGTGGCTACATGTACCACGACTACTGGCTCTTCCCCAGCATTACACATAAGTCTGTCCAGATGTTTTGAGAGATCTGCAACCTTCGCATCAGGCAGGCAAGTCACCATGCGCTTCTCCCGGTCATCGCAAACCCAGCTATGTTTCTAATGATAAAATCCCCCATTACTATTATCTGTCTCTTCCTAATAACTGGAGTTCCCTCCCACAGGGAGGTATCCTCAGTGAGAGAGGATACCATGGCATCGTCTGGAAGGAGGGTCCCAACTATGTGATTGTTTCCCTCTGCTCCACTTGGATGTTCTCCTTCCCTGAGACTTTCATACACCTCAACAGCACAGAGGCTGTCAGACCAGGGGTGGGACCATTCTACAGTGTCCTTGAACATCTTATCTAGGGACCTCTCTGTCTCCCTTAGCTCCTCCAGTTCAGCCAGTCATCTCCAAAGCCCATACACAGTCTCTGAGGGCCAGGAGCTCCTTGCACCAAATGCACACAAATCCATAAGGCAGGTAATCATACATGCTGCATTCAGTGCAATAAACTGGATAGCCCCCACTCTGTTGCTAGACTTCTGCCTACATCTGCTTTATCTTTTTACTCCTGCAGCTCTTTCTTTATTGTTGTTTGTTTTTATTAGGGGGTGTTTATTGCCTTAAATTTAAAGAATATTAATGAAGTGTATTTAGGCCCCCTCCTCACTCCCCTTCTAAACTCGCTGTTAGCTGCTCCTGTTTGCTAGCTCCTCTGCTCACTTAGGAATGGGCTTTTTAAACTCCTGTTCTCCCTGGGTAGCCCCACCCCTTGGTTGATGGATTCTAAAGGGCTTGGGGATCAAAGCCTCATTAAGAAGCTCTCACCCTTGCCTAGCAGGCCGCTAGGCTCAGCACATAGTCCTCCAAACAAAGAGATCACACTATGTACTTCAGTCAAGCACCAAGCATACAACCAACACAAACACGCACACTACAGACAACAAACTCACCCCAAGAGTCACGTAGCCACTTGTCCTTCACCTGGAGAAATCCCTCGCAAAACTCCCCTGTTAGCTGTTCCTGTTTGCTAGCTCCTCTGGTTGCTTAGAAGCAGGCTTTTTAAACCCGTGTTCTCCTTGAGTAGCCCCACTATATACATCCTATATAACCTTCTAATGAATGTGTGTGCAAAGAGCCTGAGGCCATAACCAAGAGTCAGAAGCCAGACAAGGGTCATGCTGAATTTGCTGACGTGGTACAGCACTTTGCCTTCCTCTCAATGTCTTCATGGATCTCTGGCCACCAGATGTGTCTCCGGGCTAGGGCCTTCATCTGTACAATGATCTTCATGAAGAGTTTCCAGAGCAAGAGACTGAAATGATTTTGGAATGATCATCCACATTTCCCATATGATACAACCTTAATTCACAGATAACCCATGTGACTATGTTTGTGGCACACATGCTTACATGGGAATGGATATGAGCAAGCACTCAAAGAAGAATTCACATTTGTCTTGACATACTCCCAGCCCATGGTCTTCAAAACTTTGCAAGACAGCATTCAAATTTTGAAGATGATCCTCTTGATGCTTTCCTGTAACAAGGATGTCATCCAAATGAATGGTGTTCATTCCATTCAGGATCTCATCCATGGCTCTCTGCCACAGGGCAGGTGCTCAGAGTGATACCAAAAGGCAACATGTTGTAGCAAAATAAGCCTTTTTTGTGTGTTAATTGTGAGATACGTACAAGAGGCCAGGTCAATCTTCATTTGTAGGCATGCACTGAGCACATCCAATTGAAGAAACACTATCTTCCACTAAGAGTTGTTCGTAGTGTTGTTGTAGCCACGTTGGTCCCAGGATATTAAAGAGAAAAGGTGAGTGAGGTAATATCTTTTATTGGCCTGTCTGTTGGTGCAATAAAATACATTATCTTACTCACCTTGACTCTCCATTAAGACTAGCAAACAAATCTTCAACATGAGATGGTGGATACTGGTCTGCACATAAAACTGGAGTCAGCATCACTTAGAAATCTCCACAAATTTGGACAGAGCTATCCTTCTTGATCACTAGCACGATGGGTGTAGCCCATTCACTGTGTGAAATCAGTGACAAGACTCCAATTTTCACAAATTGTCCAAATCAGCTTCCACCTGAGGCTTCAGAGGATAAGGCACAACTTGCAAACTTTTGGCTGGCTGTCAGACTTAACAGTGATCTTCACTGACATGTTGCTTATCTGTCCAAGCTCTTTTTCAAAAACTTTGGAGAGTATGTCCAGTATTTCTTAAAGGTTTTGAAGTGTTTTAGTGATCACCTCAGTCCAAATGCTTCGCAAGCCAAGTTCTGCCAAATAATGGTGGATACTTTCCTTCAATCACATGTAGGGGTAAAATGACTGATTGTCCATTAAGAGGAACTTTCCTGCAGTATAGGTCTTCATAACTGTGGAATTTTCTTCCAGGGGAACTTATGACAAAGTCTGGTGATAGGAGATGCAGAAATCAGTGGGACAGCTGCTCCAACATCAGTCTCCATTCTTGTAGGAACTCCCTCGATCAAGGCTGTGAGCCAGATGCCATGTATGATTCCAGCTTCTAACATATGCAGTTCTAGGTCTTTATCAGTGTCACTAGAACTCATCTCCCTCTGCATTATAGATTCCCAACTTCCATCCTTTCTTAGGTTCAGTCTTCATAGGCATCTTCTTGGATTTATGGTTACCCTGTGTTACTGGTTGCTGAGCTGTGTCAAGGTTCCTTCCCCACTTTGAACTCTAGGGTACAGATGTGGGGACCTGCATGAAAGACCCCCATCTTATTCTTACCAGCTTAGGTTAAAAACTTCTCCAAGGTACAAACTTTGCCTTGTCCTTGAACAGCATGCTGCCACCACCAAGCGTTTTAAACGAAGAACGGGGAAAGAGACCACTTGGAGACGTCTTTCCCCAAAATATCCCCCCTCCCAAGCCTTACACCCCTTTCCTGGGGAAGGCTTGATAATAATCCTCACCAATTGGTACAGGTGAACACAGACCCAAACCCTTGGATCTTAAGAACAAGGAAAAAATCAATCGGGTTCTTAAAAGAAGAATTTTAATTAAAGAAAAGGTAAAAGAATCACCTCTGTAAAATCAGGATGGTAAATACCTTACAGGGTAATCAGATTCAAAACACAGAGAATCCCTCTAGGCAAAACCTTAAGTTACAAAAAGACACAAAAACAGGAATATACATTCCCTCCAGCACAGCTTATTTTACAAACCATTAAACAAAAGAAACTCTAATGCATTTTCTAGCTAGATTACTTACTAACTTTACAGGAGTTGTAAGGCTTGCATTCCTGATCTGTTCCCGGCAAATGCATCACACAGACAGACCAAACCCTTTGTGTCCCGTCCCCCCCCCAGATTTCAAAGAATCTTGTCCCCTCATTGGCCATTTTGGGTCAGGTGCTAGTGGGGTTACCTTAGCTTCTTAACCCTTTACAGATGAAAGGATTTTGCCTCTGGCCAGGAGGGATTTTATAGCACTGTATACAGAAAAGTGGTTACCTTTCCCTTTATTTTTATGACAAGCTGTATGACAGGTCACAGTGATGTGTCCTTTCTTCTGGCACTTCCTGCAAATGACTTGGCCTGTCAAGTAATCCTTCTCAGCATGCATAGTTTGTGCACAACAGCCACATAGAAATTCCTTACATTCCCATGGTCCTCTGTCTCACTGATTCAGGAGGTGAGCTTCTTATGTCACACTGAATTCCAGGTTTCAGAAGTGTAGCCGTGTTAGCCTGTATTAGCAAAAACGAGGAGTCCTTGAGGCACCTTAGAGGCTAACAAATTTATTTGGGCATAAGCTTACGTGGGCTAAAACCCACTTGCATGGAGTGGAAAATACAGTAGAGAGGTATAAATACACAGCATATGAAAACATGGGGGTTGCCTTACCAAGTGGGGGGGGGTCAGTGCTAATGAGCCCATTCAATTAAGGTGGAAGTGGGCTATTCTCAACAGCTAACAAGAAGGAGTGGAAATCACTTTTGTAGAGCTAATAAGGCCAGTGTAATCAAGGTGGCCCATTTCAAACAGTTAACAAGAAGGTGTGAATATCAGCAGGGGGAAATTAGTTTTTGTAGTGACCCATTCACTCCCAGTCTTTATTCAGACCTAATTTGATGGTGTCCAGTTTGCAAATTAATTCCAGTTCTGCAGTTTCACATTGGAGTCTGTTTCTGAAGGTGTTTTTGTTGAAGAATTGCCACTTTTAAGTCTGTTATTGAGTGTCCAGGCAGGTTGAAGTGTTCTACTGGTTTTTGAATGTTATAATTCTTGATGTCAGATTTGTGTCCATTTATTCTCTGCAGTTTCCATGGCAATAGCTACCTCAACAGTCTTCTTGAATGAAAGAATTGATACAGCAGTAACTTTTTCCAGATCTGGTCATTGTGTAATTCAGAGACTCATTAGTCACGCAGGGCATTGCTCAATGTTCTGCTAACTTCCTTAGAGCAGCAATGAACTGTGCTACTGACTCTCCACTTCTCTGATGTCTCTTAGGGCAGTGATATTGGTCTGCTGTCATCAATGGGGTACGAGAAAAATGTCCCTGCATTGCTGCAGTAACTGATGCATATGTGGGAGCTCCAGGCACAGTTGGAGTCCAGACGTCATGGAGCAGTACACATGCCTTTGGACCCATCACTGTTAGCACGGTTGAAAGTCGTCTGTCGAGAACAGAATTTCAAGCTACACATTGCTCAAAACGTTTGAGGTACCACCCATGATTTTTGGTTTTCATCAAATTCGCTAATATTGCCCACAAAGGTTGCCATTTCATTTCTCTCCTTTAGAACTTCACACCCTCTCCGTGGTCTTCTCTTCCACAGGGAAACTTTTTATTTTTTTCTTTACCGTGCACTGTCTGTGCTTGATTTCCCTTTGCTGGCTGTGTGCTTACATCCCAAATCAATCCTTTGGCTGTAGTCCTTCAGGGCAGGCTAAAGGTTGTCTTTCTAACTTGCAAAGACAAGCTGCTCTCCCCTCACTGCAGCAAGTCTTTGTTCTGGCCTTATTTGCCTACTCCCCCTTTCTTGCTGGCTAGCTCATACAAGTGGCCGCAGGTTGCCCGCCACTGGTTTATAGCCTTCCCAAAGCTCGTCTTTTTACATACTATTATAATGATGTAATATGGATATTTTTGTCTTTATAAATATCCAATCCTTTTGGAATCCTGCTAATCTCAGCCTTGATCATATCTTATGACACTGGTGTTGTGTGAAAAAGTATTCCTGTTTAAATTTGCTGTTTCATTGAATGCCCCCTTGTCCTGGTATAGTGATTGTGTGAACAGAAGATCCTGATATGCCTTCTCTTCAAAGTTTGTTATCTTGTGTATCTTTACCATGACCTCTCTCATTCATCCTCTCTCTAGGGTGAACAATCCAGAGTTTTTAATCTGTCTTCAAATGGAATGATTTACATTATTTTTCACTGAACCTCTATATCTATATTTTTGCTATATCATTTTAGAGATGAGGTGACCAGAACAGAACATAACATTCTACATCAACATGTACCACTGATTTATATAGTGGCATGATACATTCAGTATTGTTAGACCCAAACCTGATACTACGGTAGTAACTATAGCCAAACATGCCTTTTTCATCTGCACTTCAGATAAAAGCACTATCTTGAGGGCTCAGATGGGACACAAATGCTCATAGACCTTCTGCAGGCCCTCTGCATGGGGTGAATTTCACTGGTGGTTAGGAGCATGTAACCATTTTTTCTGGATACAAATCTTGCTAAACATATCCCTCCTTTTGTCAACTCCATGTATATTCTAATTCACTCTATGTGGGGATGACGTTCAGAGCACTCAGAAACAGAAGCTAATTCCCTCCTTATCCTCTTCTCCTTCCTTCTCTCTTATTGACACTTTCATTTTTTGTGGCTTGGTTCAAATCAGACAGAGATCTTGTCTACCTTTGTTGCAGCACAGCAGGTAGTAGAATGAGTCCCAGATTTTGATGGGGGCCTCTGGATGTTACTACAATAAAAATAAAGATGGCCTTGTTTCTTTTCCTGCTCCTATTATCCCTTTCAAATCTCTTCTGGCTGGTACCACCTTTTCCATGGTAGACTTGCTCTCCATGAGTCTGATCCAAAGTTCATTGAAGTCAGTGAAAAAGACCCTCATTGACATCAGGTGGCTTTGAATCAGGCTCTAGCAGGAGAGGCCTATGTTTCTCTAGTAAAACGCTCACTCCAAATTAACTTCTTAGAGTACAGGTTTCTCTCTTCAGGTCTCCTTCCCTGTAGGACTCCTGACACTGCTTGGAAAAGGGCCTTTCTGCAACTTCTAAGAGCTCTCTTGTTCTGAAAGAGGGAAGAACTATGGAAAGGTGAAATAAGCGATATGATTGTTAGAAATATGACAATTTGAGGACTGGACACAACACCAAAGGTTTCAGGGAGCCACCCAGTAGGCCACAATGAAATATGCGCGCAAGATAAACAAAAATTGTTGGCATATCCATTTTCTTTTTCTGCTTTGGTGGCTGGATGTTGCCTCTTATTTACTGTTGCCTTGTGCACTAATATTACTTGATCACAACACAAGCTGGTATTGCTCCAGGTCAGTATT